CTGTCTCGTTACTCTTCAACATACTATCTAACGCGGCGCCGTGCCCGTCAGCGGCGCTCACCCCGAGGTGGTGAACAGGTCGGGCATTGAAAAGTATACATGTGACTGGTTCGTCTGCACCAGCGCTTACTACTAGAGCGATTTTGAAGCCATGTTCTTTTTCGCCCAAGCCATCCTGGCAGCTGCTCTGAGCTGAGTCAACACTGGTGTCGGACATGAAGTTGAGCGCCATCCTAGTGCTTTTTCAATTTTTTATATTTTTACGAATGCCGCACAATCCCTACCATCAGACAGAGAAAGGAAAGAGAAGAAAAGACAATGACGAACGGCTACCTGCAGTACAGACACTGATGTAGGGGCTGCTAAACTAGCAGCAGTACAGGTGAGGCGTAGTAGGTTCCCTCGACCACTGGTCTTTTTTTCTTTTTTTTCTCCATTCAAACAACTTTATTGAAAATCCGTGATAATGTATCCATACACATCTTCACTCTCCAAACGGTCTAGTAAAAATGTGATCGGAAAAATGAAGACAAATCCAAAGTCAACCCAGGCAATTATTAGCAGTCACTACTATCAAACTCGACCACTGGTCTCGGGTTCCTGACCGTGCTACTTCGAAGTACTACTACACCAAAGATAAGAATAGTTAGTAGAACAATCAATAGGGTGTGTCTGGTCGTAAATGTGTCACATTGTGTGGTGCAGAATGTTGTATGCAGTATGATGTGGACACTTTTTTTGTTTTGTTTCTTTAATTTGAATTCGTTTAGAGCACAGGCAATCCTGCCTTTTCACCAGAGGAAAACCTCCGGTTCCTACTAAGAACGAATAACTTATTATGAGAGAAGGAAAAATTAAAAAGAATCATAAAATTTCAAAGTATAGAATTCAATGGGTGTGTGTTGTAAGCAGTGCAGAACACATAGGGATAACATGCAGTAATGTGTATGATGAATGGGGGGGGAGGGGGATTATTGCGTGCACACTGCTTCTAAAAGTATAAAGATGAGGGATGAATGTCAAGCAAAGCGGTACCCATGAAGGAAGTGATGCCGAGCGAGGAAGGAGCGCGTTTAACATTGGTTACAAATTACAATCAATTCTGTCCAGAGCTAGCTTAAAGGCACAAGCCGCATTGTGGAGGCGAATATCACTGGGAAGGGCATTCCAAAGAGTGCTTCATACAAATGTCAATGACTGACGACCAGAAGGTCCAGGAAGGAAAGGCACTTGCAGCAGCCGCTGTTCCTGTCCTCGAGTAATTCGGCGATCATCCCGGGATGCGTGGCCTGTATTAGCCGTCAACTGAAAGTAGGTGCAGAAAACAGGACTTGCAAGATCATGTAGGCAACGGAAAACAAAAAAAACAGAACCTTGTAGTTTGTCAAGAGCTAGCTGTACGTCGGGGAAACCGAGCGGCCAGTGCAGGAGCGGTTTCAGGAACACTACTGGGAAGTACAGAGACGACAGTGGAGAAAACTCCCTGGGGTAACCATGGTAACCACTACAAACCCACCACCGACAATCTCACACATCATCTTCTCAGTCCTTCCACCAGGCAAAGATTCTCGACAGGGAGCCTTCTTTTCCATCACCAGATCACGCAAGTACCTTGAGGCAACAGAGGTGAGAAATCGACGACCAAAGGTGAACAGTGACAAGGGTTGGCGCCTATCGGCATAAATGAAACTTCCCGTCACATGAGCGCAAGCTCCACTGCAGTCACTTTAAATGGAAAACCTTACACACACACCATCTTCAATCCAAGTGTACACCTTGTTTTCAGGCACATTGGGTTTGTGTGTGTCTTTAGTTACACAAGTGTGGGTGTGGGTGTATTTTGGAGTGTGAGCTTGTGTGCATAATGTGAGTGTGAGTGTTGGTGCGAGTGTGAGTATGAGTGTGAGTGTTGGTGCGAGTGTGAGTATGAGTGTGTGTCTCAGTGTTTTGGCACGTGCATGGGTATGTGTGTGTGCCTGTGCAGAAAGGATGGTGCAATCTTATCACGTATGGTGTAGTTTCGTTCCACTTTGTGTTGCCTGTTATAGGTCCACCTCACTTGTTCTTCTCCTCAATCCTGATGATGGCTCCTGGCCGAAATTTTGATTGAGAAGTATTGTAATTTGCAGCGAAGAGACCATTGAAGATGGTGTGTGTGTGTAAGGTTTTCCATTTTTCCCGTCCCATGACCGATCTACAAACTGGGCATCCCACACCGTGCTATTTTAAATTATCACAATGAGCGCGAGATCTCGGATTTGACCATACCCCCCCCCCCCACACACACACGCATACACAAACATGCATACATCAACTCAATCGTGACTGTCTCATGCCCACTTAAAAAAAATCTTTGTACATGTACTTGATGAACTGCCCACTTACAAAGTTACGTAATCATTGTTGTCTTATGTCTTAAAGGGGCTTGTAACTGGTTGCAGCTTGCATGTAGTAGCGTGAATGAAGTCACTGTACCGTCTTATTATCAGCCATTTTTGTTGTATCTTCTCCTGTAAACGCAACAAACAGGGCGAGTTGCGCATGTAACACTCACACCCTTGCCTACGGGTTAAAACCGTTGTTTTCATTGCCATCTCATGGGAAGGATTGTACTGGCAAAGCCAGATGAACATGTAATACAATAATATATCAAGAGTGCATAAAAAAAAGTATGCAACTGTGGTTATGGCCCAGTGCGCGGCGCGCTGCCTTCATTACGTAACTTGCCTTCATCACGCTCTGAAAGCATGCATTCAAACTCACAATTTCTCGTACGAGCCCATCCGTTTTCGCTCGATTCGTTCCAGTACCTACCCAATCTCTAAAGTTTGGCGCATGAACTCCAGTTCCGTACACAAGTCCATTTCAAACCAGAGGGAAAGCACGGCGTTTGATTTTCCGCAGTGCGCGGACTGCAGCTGAATGATGTAATGAAGGCAGCGCGCCGCGCATCTGGCCCATAGAAAAGAGATCACAGTTGCATACTCTTGTTTATGGACTCTTGAATAGATTCACTAGTTCACAAACACAATACAAAATAACAAGTTGTAAGTAGTCTATAGAGTCCATTCTTGTCGGTAGTTAGTAAGTAGTTATCTACCTCCACTGAGGATATATCCAAAAATAAACTTCCTCGCTATGGTGTTGTAAACGTGGACCATGAGCGCAGTGTGGAGAGGTAGACGGTTCAGATTATTTTCAAATGGCCGAGTTTGTCACTAGTTCTGGAAGTAGTCTAAATGCAGTGATTGTATGCACAATAATAATATTCACTAGTTCAATAACACAACATGAATAGTAGTTTAAAAGATGCAGTGAAGTAAAGAAAATCGTAGTACGACACAATCAGCTGAAAGCGAAAAAAAAACAGAAAAAAAGAAAAAACAGCACACGCAGCACACGCAGCACAGAAGCCATTATAGTTTCGACTAGGCCCTTCGTACCATTACTTTTCAAGTCGAATACAATGGTGGTTTCTACTGATTACCAAGGTAGAAAGCAAGTCCTTATAACCGGCACTTTAGCGGCCAGAGCATTGACAAAATAGCGCTTTAAAAGATAGCGCTCGTGACGCCAGCTACAAATTTCGCGGTCAAAGCAATGACCAAATAGCATTCGTTAATCACCATTGTATTCGACTTGAAAAGTATTGATACAAAAAGGCCTAGTTGAAACTATAATGGCTTCTGTGCTGCGTGTGCTGATTTTCTTTCCTCCAACCGGGAATATATTTAAAAAATCACGGTTCGCGTGAGACTCGACTGGAGGCCGAGTTTTCCGCAACCGCAGGAACACCACCACCCTCTAGGATCATGGGGCAGATGCAGCTCCTAAGCGGTGGGAGGTGAGTAGATCAGAACCACCACAAAGTGGTCAAAGACTGAAAAAACCCATCATGCTGCATCCATGTTTCCCCAGTTCCAGGCCACGAGTTCCCAAAACATGAAGGTGATAATCAAAACACTTATCACAAGCAAAGAGATAAATCAATAGCTCAAGAGTGCAAGACATGAACTGAGAAATATTCGATCCAAATTCACAAACAAGTTCAGAATAAACTACTATTTATTCGGCTTCCACAGGTCTGCCGCTAGAGTTTACCGGGTGTTAGCGGCCGTCGTTAGTTCCATTTGGGAACGGACACGATAATTTACATTTTTACAGGCCCGGCTTACTAAAAAACTGACTCCACCACATGCACACAGCGCTGACTGCGTGCAGTGCACGAGACAAGAATGAAAAACTATCATCTACAGAACCGCTGCCTGTGAGCATCTCACCAAGCTGGCTGATGTCGTGGAGAGTTTCTTGGCCGTGGCCCTGGTGGGTTCCTCAGTGTAGTGTTGCTCGTTGATAATGCTCTCGCTGATGATTGCAGGTGGAGCGATGGTGTCCAATGTCTGCTGGTTTTGAGCAGGCTTGTTGTGGCCACCTTTTCTGCTGTTGGTGGCGGTGGCGATATCTGCAGGTACCGGGTATGTTTGTGAGTGTGCACGAACATCCAACCACAACCACGCGTGCACATACACACACACATACACACAAACACACACATACACACTCACACACACATACACACACATATACACACACACACATACACACACACATACACACACACACACACACACACATACACACACACAAACACACACACAGACTCAAAATTATACATGTTTATCACTCTTCTATATCGCCCTCCACTAATTCTTGTGATCCCTGACTGGTCCTATTGCCCATATCGCCGTAATACGGACCGCTTCTATCGACTGTATATATTGACCACTTTTAAAGCATCGTAATCTTTTCGACTTTGGAGGGACTTCGGAATTATCTCTCCACTTCAAGAAGAAAATTTGAAAGACAGAAGACAAAGGAAGGGAACAAGCAGAATTGGAACCCACATCAGTATGAATCTCAAGCAACCCCTCAAGCAACCCCTCAAGCAACCCCTCAAGCAACCCCTCAAGCAACCCCTCAAGCAACCCCTCAAGCAACCCCTCAAGCAACCCCTCATACCACCCAGTCACTGTGCTGCAGATGCTGAACCCTGTTGTTCTTACAGTCTTGTACCCAAAATAGGCAACATCCTATGAACACTATCATGGCAGTACAAATGCAAAATAGCTCCTTAAAGGATCAAATTTTCGGGTCATGAGCTCATGGCAAAGGAATCGTGAAAAATAGGATATTGACCCAGACAAGGTCTATATGGGAAATATAGGCCGAGTAAAAGACCAAGATCCGCCGAGTTCTTTTGCGAGGCCTATAATTATTTTCCATATAGATCTCGTCTTGGTCAATATCCTATACACACAGGCTGCTTATAGTGCTTTATGTTGAGTGGACAGAGCCAGTGTGTTACAAGACTCACACCGTGAGCAATGACACAAGCAAGTCCTGTATGCACTGCCTTTCCCCACAGTACGACCTCGAGTCCTCTTGTTCTGTCTGCCGTCGGTTTTGCTATGCCATGTACAGACACCTGGCTGTTTAACAACAGCTATACATGTATGCTGCGTGAAACAAAGTGAACTTGGATAGAACTCTCAGACTGCTAGAATTCCCCATTCTATTGGATGCATGAAAAACCAAATTTATTAATTTTGATTTTTGAAATGGCTGTATTGATTAAAACAGTTTATGTTTACAGCCATTTCAAATAATCAAATAGGAAACTCCACTCAACATGAACCCTCAGGCCCTGTGACCACACATGCTTGCAATTTTGCTGCCAGTCTACATGAGCCTTTGACTGCGTTTCAATATGCTGCTTGACATCATCCAGGAGTAACCAGATTTTAATCAAACAATGCGCTGAACAGTTTACATACCTGATGGAGAAGTCTCAGTGACCGTCGTGAGCTCCAGCTCTTGCTGAGCTGGCCTCATCATCTTGCACGTATCCATGCTGCGTTGCTTGATCAATGAAAGGTACGGAGCGCGGAGAGTACCTTTAGTACACCTACACACAAAGATAAAACAAAACTGAAAAATCAAGACACCAAGCCCAGAAGCCATGCAGTTTCCACTAGGCTGTTCGTACCATTGCTATTCAAGTCGAATACAGCGATAATTGTAAAGCAGCAGCAAGGAATTCCTTATAACCCTACTTGCGGTCAGAGCAGTCGCAAACATTGGCACCTAAGGAAGTGTGACTGGTGGTTGATATGACGCTCTGCATTGGCTGTGCCACTACGATTATAACGCTCTGTATTGGCTGTGTCACTATGATACACCGCTCTGTATTGGCTGTGTCACAATGTAGTTGGAGTCACTAAGGCTTTCTTAGATGCTATTTTTGGTCACTGCTCTGACCGCCAAAGTTTCAGTTGTAAGGACTTCCTTGCTGCCATTGTATTTAACTTGAAAAGTAATGGTCAAAAAGGCATGGTCGGAATTACATGGCTTCTGTGCTCTGTGTGTTGTTTGCTTCTTTCCAATAAAACTGAGAATGATGAAAACAGATGAAGAGGAAGCCTCCCCACTTTTACTTAGATGAAGACGAGACTTTTATAATGGATACGGACAAGTGTACTTGTGTACGGGAAAGGTGAGGAGGATATGTGCATGCATATGTCTGTATTTGTGTGTGTGTGTCGGGGGGGGGGGGGGCTGAGTATGGAGCAGCTACAGTGTTTTGGCTATAGATCGGCTCCTATATCAACTACACTGCCAGCTCGGTATTCGACACTTCCCATATGCTGAGGACATGTCTCGGTATGGATGTGGCCGTGAAATTCTTCCTGTCTGACTCTGACCGAGTTAAAGAAGTGACGTGCTCCAAGATGCAGACATTTGCTAGAAGTAGTACTGGTAGTGTGTGTGTGTGTGTGTGTGTGTGTGTGTGTGTGTGTGTGTGTGTGAGTGCGCGCGCGCGTGCTTGCGTGCGTGCGTTTTTTCACATATGCACACACAGATATAAAAATTAATGAGAACAAGAGAGTGTTGGGGAAGAGAGAGAGAGAAAAACAGAGAGAGAGAGAGAGAGAGAGAGAGAGAGAGAGAGAGAGAGAGAGAGATCCTGCCGGGGCTATCGTCAGAGGAAAGGCTCCTTGGCATGCTCTCAACATGCACTCTCAGACTGGAAACATACTGACATACCTGCTTAGGCCGTTGGCATTCGTTTGGCGTATGTTAGAGCCCGGTGTGGCTGGATCACAGTTCACGTAGTGCGGTTCGGTCTTCACTTTATGGACAGGGATGTTCTCATACTGCCTCTCTCTACACTCATCCAGCATACCAGCCAGGACGGAGAACGTAGGCCGTGCTCCTGGGTTAAGACACCAGCATGAGTGCATTATGTTGTACCTGAGCACCGAGAAGGAGGATAGAAAACATGCTTGATCCAAATATGATACACTCCCCTGACAAACCAACCCGACCCCAAAGTCAAAAAATATCTTTATTTGTAGAAAAGAAAAAGAACCAATGAACTACAAGTTGCGCTATAATATCCACTTCACCACCAGCTACTAAACATGCCAACAGCTCATGCGATAACATTGCATGACACTGACCAATGCTACTGGCATTCTACAACTAACTGGCGAACTGCTCTAGCACATCTTGGATGCGCACTCCAACAGCCTTCCAACTTGGACGGTGCTAAGTTATATGATAACATACGAGGTGAAGGTTAGCGCAACCAAGACAAGCACAAGCTGAAAGTCTCTGCTGTGAAGGACGTTGGCGGATGCTCATGCATGTCGATGACGATACTGGCAAGACCATTGGACAATACGGTCAATCCACGATGCCAGAACACAAATCAACATTGCACACAACTTGTGTGGCTCACAGATGCGAAGATGAATAAAAGGGGAAGCTATGCGAACAAGAATCATGCGAAATCGTTGTTTAGCAACTGGTGGTGTAATGGACATTATAGCGTAACTTGTTCCCGTAGCTATGCAGAAGACGTTACTTCAGTAACGTCTGGCGCTAGCCAGGGTGCACACAGCTTTAATTTGGTGCTTATTTGTTTGTTTGTTTGTGACACCGGCATGCCTGGCGCTATCCCGTACCTGTCCCGTACCGTACCATCAAGGACAGCATCGCGATATCGGCATGCTTGGCGCTATCCCGTACCCGTTCCGTACCATCAAGGACAGCATTTCGGCATGCCTGGCGCTATCCCGTACCTGTCCCTTTCTATATCATCAAAGATGGCTGACCACAATATTCAAATAGGGATTTCAAATGCAAGATCATGACGTGAAGCAACTTGGAAGAATGAGTATGTATGGGAAGTGTATCGGGGGAATGCATGCAGGGTCATAGTGTGGGTTCGGATCCTAGGTTATGTCTAAAAAATAGGAGAATGAAAATTTATAACATCCCTATACTTTTTTTGCCTAGGTCATCAAGGTGGTAGACGGCGTCGTTACCCTCGAATGCAAAGAGAAAGTTGACTCTCTCTAGGCAAAAAAGCATAGCGTAGGGCCCTGAGCTTCCAAACTCTCTCGAAGTTCTTTGGTCCTTTTTCTTTTCTATAAATTTATCCTTGGCCCTCCATCCGAATATCTTTGTTCATTTTCTTTACTTTCATATGTTCACACCAGCGTTGCGAAATATTACACCTCTACACCAATTTAAAGTGTCTGTTTTGAAGGTTCAAAAAAATCAGAGAGATGAGGAAACGTATTTCACAATGATGCTGCCAGACTTGGGACGGACCTGGAGACAAGCGCAATGCTAGTATTTAAGTCATCAGCTGATGTGCTGGCTGGACATGCTATGGGTACTGTACTCGCCCTCTCTTGAATTGTGCCCCAGTCTCGGAGAGCCAATGGAAAAAATCATGAAAGACCAATCTTGAATAGCGCTTAGTGGGATTGTCTAAGCCCATGATTGAGGAACAGAGGGTACCAGGTTCAAGTCCTGCTTGGAAGCAGAAGGACTTTTTCCAGCTGTGCTTCGACCCACAGTAAAATTCGGAACTCGTGGCCTGGCACGAGGGAAACATGGATGTAGCGTATGGGATTTTCCGTCTTTGACCACTTTGTGGTGGGTCTGATCTACTCACCTCCCACCGCTTAGGAGCTGCATCTACGCCTTGATCCCAGAGGGTGGTGGCGTTCCTGCGGATGCGGAAAACTCGGCTTCCAGTCGAGTCTCGCGCAAACGGTGATTTTGTTTTTAATAGTGCGATGTGATGGCTTTATAACATATAGAAAATAGTGCCCGTGGTAATCACGCGAGTAGGGTAAGCTATTGTGAGCTCGCCCCATCTCCACCTGTTCCTGGGCCACACAGCAACTTCCCAGTCGAGTCATTCAATACCACTGAGCTGTCACCCCTATATTCAGTATGCTTCATGTACTTTAGAGTGCCAGGAACTGTTGCACCTTCACGTTATCACATGGATCTACAATGTAGCCAATGGTATATATAGAAGCCCTGCTTGATAGATTAACATGTTTTCGATTTCAACCGCATGTAGGTTGTAGTCAGGAGCACTATGCGTCCTCGCCTTGTAACATGCTGTCGAAATCGAAAAATGCAGCTGATATAGCCCAATGGTGCTTACACTTCCACCGGGCAGTCATCAGGTGGAGGCAGACGAATGTTTTGTTGGAGCACATCCATCATCTCATGATTGCCGACACCAGTGTAAGGCATGATACCAAGAGAGAAGATCTCCCACATCACAACGCCAAATGCCCACTGGATACACATGTGAACATACACACACACACACACACACACACACACACACACAAGAGCGTGCACACACACACACACACACACACACACAAACGCACGTGCATGCGCGCAAGGAAATCAGAAAACTGGAGATAATACTCTCCGCGTTCTACGAGCTTATATTTTAACACGGAGGGATGACTTCATCCTGTATCACATAGCAGTTTGCATTGCAAAATCGATCTACTGCTACACAAAAATCTCTGGGACTCGCAGAAATCTGCGATACATGCAGGCTAGCTACCCATGCCTAGTATGCACCGTCAAGTAACATGCATACAGTGCAGTGTGGGTGGTACATGACTGTACTCCCAATCTGCACGTATGTGTAAGATGCAAGTAACCACGCTTGAGGTGGAAGCAGGGCATGTACACAGAGACGAAGAGCCCAGTAGGTGGCTGCGCTGTGCTGTAGCAGCTATCCCCTTTGCCAGATACACTGTTTTCGAATTTTTGTGCTGATGTTGACACTTTGATACTAGTTGTTTCAGGTATTACAATTGCATCATTTTAGTCTGGTTCCGCTCCAGACCGAGTTCTTTCGAGTGGGTGTCAGACGTTCATGTCGAAAAAATGGCTCCGCTATGGGTAAGATGCTGACCCAATGCAGTGCTGCAACTAATTCTTCAGACGTGCGAGTAGCATGAGCTGTCCTTCCGTGGTCTTAGAAATTCCAGTTGTTACTCTTGTAGATGGGTTTCAGGAATTACTCTCAGGGTGTATAATATGATGAACATTCAGCCTTCAAAGAAAAGTGCTAATCAAAAATCAAAGATTGCCACACAAGTAAGATTTTGTATATCAAAAACTGCTCGAAACAGTGGTTGCGACTTCGGCGATGATTTTTTTAGGAATGGGTTTGCTGCCACACTGGAGCTAACAAAAACTGCTATCCAGAAGAATACATTAGCCCCGGCCCACCGGCACACACCCAGGCATGCGGGCACACCCCCGCGTACACACAAACGTGTGCGCATGGGCATGCATGCGCGTGCGCGCGCACACACACACACACACACACCTTTTTCGTTTTATACACACACATACATGTAAATACACACATACACATACACACAACACACATCACACACACACACACATATACACACACACATACACACACATACACACACACACACATACATACTTCCTCCGCGTCATTAAAATTGTCGCTTCCCAGAGTGATTTTTCGAATTTATTTTGTCCACTCGAGGGGCAGAGAAATCAGCTAGAAATTGAGGCGGAGCATTGTCGACGCACCCAGCTTTAGTTTGTGGCCTCCCGCTTCGCTGCACTTGTAGCTAAGGTCGACGTCTTCATCAGAGCTTGAGGCAGACCCTTTAGCACTCAACAATACGCTGAAGAAGACGTGCGTTCAAATTCAGGTCAAGAAACTTCGTTTTCAAGCGATCCATGCGTCCAGGTGGCAGGGGATGAAGCAAGCTAGCATTTTTAAAGTACACTGTAACGACCTTCCAGCGGGGTAGGGTAAGCAGTTACGCACCTTCTTTCCTTGGCAAGCACTTCGCTGATTTTGTCAATGTTTTCAGACCTGCTACCTTCGCAGCAAAATGCGCCACAAATAGCGCATTTTAGGAATTTGAGACAACTTTGTTCTTGCCATGTTCAACTTCAGCATTTCGTATTCAGGAAAGATACCAGGATTCTTATACCCGGGCTTGCAGTCTTGATAAATGCTCACTCGAACGATGTGGGACGGCACGAACTCCAGAAAACGAAATGCGCTCTGGGGCGGAATAGTGCGGAGCGCGATGAATTTGCTTGGTGCGGAGACCTCCGACAAAGTCCGAGACCACCACGGCTTCAGTAACAAGTAGACATTGCGCAGGAAGGGTCGCACCAGTGTTCGAACACAGAAAACAGCGATTCCGACTGTCTGACGAAGACGAGCCAAGTCACAAATATTATTACGATGTGCTAAGCGACAATTTTAATGACGCGGAGGAAGTACATACATGCACACACACACACTTACCACATCAGACTGTACTGTGAAGATGTTCCGAGTCAGGCTCTCAAACGACATCCACTTGACGGGCAATGGACGATTGGATCCTGCTCGGTAGTAGCTGTCTTTCGCAATTTCACGCGCCAATCCAAAATCACCGATCTTCACCACCAAATTTTTGCTCAACCTGCAGAAGTTCAGAAGTCAATGTAAGCGTGATTAAATTCATGCTATTTGACCTGCAATTTACTAACGCACTGAATGGATCTCCCTTTTCGCTTTCGCATGCATTTACACAACATGCATGTGAGTGCACAAATGCACATCCTGTTAAACACGAGGAAACCCACAAAATTAATACACATGCGCATTTACATACACAGTTATTGTGGAAATCGGATAAGACATACCCCCTCGGAGAATGGACAAAAGTATATCGCATCCAAGGTACTTCTTATCCAAAGTTGACTCCTGCAGCCTCACTAATACAATACAAGTGCAGTATGTCAAAATGCTCGAAATTTTTATTGCACTCAGAAATGTACGTGTTTAGTGCCACCCGACCAGGCTTGCCCGAGCTGCAAACAGCCTCCTCCGCCCTGTCAACGTACTCAAGCACCTGTCAATCGAGCCTGTCCTCCGTAAAGGTGTACGAAAACAACCAAAAGTACATAGAGTGCAAGGCTAGCCCTATCGGGACCTGCTGAAAAGTCTGTCATACACCAGTTGTCTGTCTTATCAGAGGATGTTGTATCCGCATACAGTTGTATATGCGTTTGTGGGAGGAAATCCGTGCAACGAAAAAGGTCCGTAACTAAGCAGATGACTTGTATGTCTTACCCGAGTACGTACTACAGTGTGTTCCACTGTGCACGCATACATAAGTACGGAAATAACTGTTAGTCATACGCACACACACGCACACACGCACACACACACACACATACGTACACACACGCACGTACGTACACACACGTACGGACACACGTGCCCATTCAAAACACATCTCGGCATATGACGTCACATGCAGCATTCCAAACCACTTACATGCAGTTTCTAGCAGCCAGATCGCGATGGACAAAGCTCCGACTGGACAGGTAGTCCATGCCTAGGGCTATCTGAGTGCAGAAGCTGAGTAACATCTTGGTACTCGACTGCAGCAGAATACATACATGTACATGCCAACCATATCGTGACAGAGACTGAATGAGCATGTGCAGTCAACTTCGCTAATAACGACTGAGGATATAAACGACAATTCGGCAATAACGGCAGAATTTCCATGCCCAGAGCAAAGTCCCATCAAACTATAATCCATATAATGAGACTTCGGGTATAAGAACACTTTTCTGATGCCTCGCTGAGTGTCGTTATACGCGAAGTTGAGTGTATGTAAATATCTACACTCTAGATATCTCGCGTTCTATACCTTCGAATGCGTGTGTGACTCAAGTTCACACAATCAAGAAGACACTTCTTTCATCTAGCAAAAGTTTTCTTTTCCTTCTCTTCAGGATAGTACAGGGAATAATGGAAATGTTGAAATACACATAACTATAATAGAACTCAGATGGTGAGCCAAAGAAAAAATTGTAACATGGAAAAATGTGGGCACAAGTTATGCGATCGAGTCCACCAAGTAAACCAGATTTTTTGAATAGTCAAACGTGCACAATCTAGCACAAAACTGACAATAGCTTGTGCTACGCCTTCCCCTCTTTAGAATTGGCACTAAATATCCATGAACCTTCCAAGTTGGAAGGCCATTGGTTAGCGCTATCGAGCAGTGCTCAAGCTGACTTTCATGCCCTGGAATGTCTCAGTACTCCTTGTCAGTGTTGTGCTAGATTGTGCACGTCTGACTGTTCAAAATTCTGGCTTAGTTGGTGGACTCGATAGCATAACTTGTGCCCACATTTTTCCATTCTACAACTATAATAGAGTTTTGTCTTTCTTTCTTTTTTCAAACTCTATTCAATCTAAGAAAGGGTTTGCTCCCCATACCGGAGCTCGCGCTATTCCGCCGACTTTACTTGACACTTGACTGGAGAGCAAACCCTTTCTTACAAATCATTGCCGAAGTCGCAACCACTACTTCGTTCTATTCAATCTGCGGACAGAATTGCTTCGTCCTTTGCGGACTCACCAGCGCAGCACAGAGAAAATTGTTATCAGGGCCGGATCCCCGATAATAGAACCATAATAACAGCAGGACTGGCTGTGAGAGGAAGGTTGTTATTATCAACTCAAACACTCATAGTGATCGTTTAGTAAGCAAAAAGGAACAACCAACGTTACTTGTTTCTAACACAACTGAACACAAAGGAAAGGGCCACATGAGCACTACGTCATGCACTGCATGATGCAGTGAGCGAGCGCATGCGTGGGAATGTGCAGTGAAGCGAGTAACACTGCAGTACAGGTATTGCAGAAGCATGCACAGACCAGATCTACTAAGAACAATACATGCACGTGTCATGAGCAGTACAGTGAGACTTCACGCTACAGTGGTCCGCGTGACACTCCCCAGCGAATAAGTGTGGCAAATAAATCATGGGAGATTCTAATAGACAGGGACAAATAAAACGGGAGACCACCAAATCATGGAGTAGGGAGTATGCCGGGAGCAGTAGACAACATAAACGAATGAGCAAATAGCGTAGCGGGAAAAAGAAGGGGGGAATGTAACAGAGAGTAGGATGCAGCAAAAGGTACTACATGCAATAGTACTTAGCTGGTGTGAGTCAAGAGGTTGTCCACTTGGCAATATTTTCCAGTGCCTTGCGAGCGGCAGCGCGACTCGGTCTCACGTCAGCTGGAGGTCTGGTCTCTAGTATCCACTCGAGCAGGTGCTGGTAGCGGGGTGCTGGCTCGACACTCAAGTGGGTAGAGCTTGCATAGAGGTCGAGTCACTGCATGGCCAGCTGGTGTCTGCACGACAGCACTTCGAACCTCGTTGTCGGTGGGACTGACAATGAGTTCCGCCACACGTCCGACTCTCCAGACCGCACGCGGCGTATCATCTTCGCCAATCAGAACCACCTCACCAACCTCCGGTCGACCGTGCTGGCGGGCATGGGGAGAGAAGGATGATGGAGTTGATCGGGCCTGCAGCATCTGGAGATAGTCTCGCTGCCATAGACGCCAGAAGGCTGCACTCTGTTGTTGCTGACGCTTCCATGCGTTCAGGAGCTGGGTAGACGGAGAGGCAGACGTTGGCAGAAAGTCCGGGTCGCTATCGTCTACAGCTTGCAACCGAATGGACGCTGGACGGCCACCAATCAGGAAGTGAGCCGGTGTGAGGATTTGATAATCCAGCCCCTCACTATCAGCTGGTAAGGTAGTCAACGGGCGGCTGTTAACTGCAGCTTCCGCTTCCGCGAATGATAGCTCGCACGGTTTCCCGGCCTCGAGGTAGCCAGAAGTAGAGGCGTAGCTGAGCTAGAGTGTGAGTTGTCCCGACATGAAGCAGGCGGCAGTGTACATCCATGACAATGAGATGCGTGAGCCGATGACCAGGTGGAAGCAGAGCCTGCGGAGCATCAGCGGTATCGGAGGCGGGTTTCACTCTGCCGTGGCACCGAATGATGACGAACGTGTCAATCGTCAAACCAAGCTGTTGCTGGAGGGGATATCTGGTGCCTTTCGCGATGCTGTTGAACACGGATGTGAAGCACTGCTGTTGGGCCGACCGGACAAGAAGGCACAGGATGAGGTGCCGTGTTGTAGCGGTAAGTGCTGGTGTCTTCATGAGCGCTTGCAACAGGGTGCTCAGTAGCGGATGAGACCCGTGGAGCGCGGTCCGTCGTTCACTTGTAAGTGAAGCCCGCAGTTTGAGCTGAATGAACCGGCAGCAGTAGAACACAATACGAACGAGTCGTTCAAGACGAGACGTGCGATCGACTAGCACAGTGAGAACATCAGCTGCAGGCATTGGCGGTGTTGTATCAGCGGCAGCAAGAGTGACACTATGGAGGACATTGGAGCCACGCAACTCAGCAGCGATTTGTTGCAGTGTTTCGGGCGTGAGGTGAAGACTTTCTCGGAGAGGCCAGTGCGAGTCAGGTCCTTGAAGCCAGGGCGGTCCTTGCCACCAGAGGGCATCCTTGGCTAGGTCTTGCACACTGCGGGGACGTGTTGCCAAGTCAGCAGGATTGGCGGAGGTCGGGACATAGCGGTATGCCAATGACTTGTGGGAGCGTAGCTCGGCAATGCGGTTCTGCACAAACAGCGCCAGATCCCGCGTTGATGCCAACCAATGTAGGACACACTTGGAGTCGGTCCATAGCGTTGTCGAGGAGATACGGACGTGGAGCTGCTCGAGTAGGAAGACTGCCAGACGGGCACCGATCACAACGCCCATCAGTTCCAAACGCGGTATGGACAGGGACTCACCGCTCTGGGATTTGGACGTTGGGGCAAGGCGCAACTTACTGAAGATGAGACTGGCGTAGTGCTTGCCGGCAGTCGTCACCCGAAGAAAGGCAGCTGCAGCGTACGCATCCATCGAAGCATCGGTGAAGACATGGAGTTGGATGTCGACAGCAGCCGCGACTGGGCCATAGAGTCTAGGGATAGCCAGAGACGAGACATCAGACATCATGGCAGAAATCTCCAACCATTGCTCGGCAAGCGATTCAGGAAGCGGCGAGTCCCAGTCGAGTTGAGACTGCCAAATCTGGCGTAGCAGGAGGCGTGCACGCAACGTGATAGGCAGCACAAGGCCAAGGGGGTTGTACAAGCTGGAGAGACCACACAAGACAATCCGCTTGGTCACGGGGGAATCCGGAGTGGATGGCACCCGCAGCATCTTACTGCTCGGGATCGTAAGTTGATCAGCTTGGGTGTCCCAGGAGAGACCAAGAACTTTGACGTGACGGGCCTGGACTCGGTCCTGCTGTGGTAGAGCGGCGCGGACCTCTGCAGAGTTGCTCGTCCACTCGCGCAGGTTCATGGAAGCCTTGGCAAACAGGTCCTTGGACTGACGGTAGACAGTGGTAGCATCAGTGTGGTCATCAATACCGATGATGGTGTTATCCACATAGATGTTGTCGGCAATCATGGCGGACAAGGCTGACGGATGACTGCGTAGATGATGCCGAACCGTTGCTTCCAACAGGAAGGGGCTAGCGATGACACCGAACGGCATGCGACAGAAACGGTATACTGCGAGGTTGTCATCAGTGGGCGTGGGACGGGCTACGTCTTTCAGCCACGGGAACCGGGTGACGTCTCGATCCTCTGGACGGATGCTGAGTTGTAAGAAAGCTTTCTCGATGTCAGCTAGCATCACAACGTCATGGCAACGGAAGCGGAGGAGCATGCCACAGAGGTTGGGTAGTCGGATAGGGCCTCGGTACATTGAGTCGTTCAAGCTGTTGGACCGTTTCGAACTTTTAGCAGAAGCGTCATACACGATACGCAGCTTGGTTGTTGCCTTCGATGGCGTAACGACAGGCTGGTGGGGTAGGTAGTGCTGAACAGGACCAATCGTGGACTGCTCGGTGACTTCCTCAATGACGCCCAGGTCAGTCTGTGACTTCATGACTGTGTCATACTTGTGAAGTAGATCAGGATCGGCAGAGAGGCGGCGGCACAGACTCGATAAACGGCCGATTGCCAAGCCGTAGTTGGTGGGGAGGTCCGGTGGTGTGGCCTTCCACGGCCATGCCACCTCGTAGCGACCATCGACAGTACGGACGTGATCCTGGAAGTGCTTCAGAGCCAGGTCGTCAGCTGTGACCTTTGGCGAATCGTGAATGCCGATACGGTCGAGACACCACATGTCGGTGATATCTGGGGTCGGTGCGGCACTGCTTGCTGGATGGAACACGTTCAGCTGGCTCAAAGCTTGGTTCATGGAAGTGTGGCAGAGTAGCGCTGTCTGGGAACTGTCGGCCGCGGCAGGTTGGAGGCCGGTCAAGACATATCCAAGTCGAGATTGGAGAAGGAAGAGACCAGAGGACAGGGTGATTCGAGCCTGCTGGATGATGTGGCCATAGTAATTGGAGCCAATGAGGAGGTCGATAGGAGCTGCCTCTGAAACTTCCGGGATAGGGTCCGCTAGACGAGAGGAGACAGACTGGAGAAATCCACGATCCTCATCAGGGATGCGACTGCGGTGTACAGGATCCGTGATTTTGGTCAGGACGTGAGCCGTCATCTCTAGCATCGAGCTATCCTGGAGTGACATATTAAAGTCGACGACAGGAGTGGCGAGCTGGTGTGGCTGAGCACCGGCAAAGGTAGAGATCAGCAGATACTCCGTGCGTTGCATGGGGAGGGCGAGAGTGTCAGCCAGAGCAGATGTCATAAATGCGCGCTGGCTGCCAGTGTCAAGGAGAACCCGAGCGCGAACAGACTTGTTGCTGTGATGGAGGTTGACGGTAGCAGTTTGCAGCTGGACACTGGACGTGGGGCTACTGTGACCTGATGCAATGGTTGTAAACGTCGATGGTGTACGTCCAGCACTTGCGTGACCGGCAGCAGGCTGGGTACAGATGGCTGTGTTGTGATGGTTCGCCTGCAGGCAATGGCGACACTTGCCGTCTCACGTGCATGCAGCACTGCGGTGTCCCTTCCCGAGACAGCGGAAGCAGCATTGAAGCCGCATGAGTCGCTCCTTCCGCGCCGTGGCGGTCGCGTACTGCTTGCACTCATCATGCGAGTGACTAGCACTGCAAAACACACAGGGGCGGCGTTGGCGCCGGCCTGCTGGCTCCTGCCGTGAGTGGACAGTAGCAGGGAGAGCACTCGCCGTGCCTGCTGTGGAGCTGCCAGGCATAGGCGGCGCCGGGATACCTGGATTCACTGTTGCAGTGGAGTCGGCACGATGCCGGGCTGTATCCTGCAACCAACTGTAGCGCTTCAACGCTTGCCGGAGGGTTGCAATGTCCCATGGCTTCGCGGCCTAGTCGAGTGGGCGCCACTCCTCGATTTTGAAGGTGACCTCGATCGGGAACCTCGTCAGGATTTGCTGGCTGATGAGGCGTTGGCCAGTGAGGACCTCACCCTGGGCCTCAAGTTGTTGGAGGAGGCTCCCAATGTGCTCCAGGGTTTGCTTAATGCTGGCCGGCGTATTCAGAGCTGAGGGGAGCTGTTGCAGCTGCGTATACAGTTTTGAAACGATTAATTCCGGTCGTGCAAACTCAGCTTTCAGCGCAGCCACGGCAATCGGGTAGTTCACACCTGTAACGGCGAGGCCACAGATCAACCGGCTCGCGCGTCCGTGCAAGACCGATTTGAGGTAGGTAAATTTGGAGACCTCTGGGATAGCCTGGGAGTCCACGGCACAGGAGAACATATCCCAGAAGTCTGGCCAAGCGAGCAGATCACCATCAAAAGTCGGTAACGACAGCTTGGGGAGCTGTATGGGCAGCTTCATCACGGAACCAGCAGACGCGGCAGGTGAAGCACTTGGCCGAACTTGCGGTGTGCTGGTAGCGAGAGGCACAGCACCAGGTGACTGGAATGACACTACCGGTCGATCTGGAGGATGGGAGGTAACTCTGGTCTCAGACGAACTGGAGGTGGTCGACCACTCCGAGTCACTGTCAGAGTCACTAGGTAAAAGAGACGTCCGAGGAAGCAAGGACCCGTCTCCAGGGGCAGTGGCAACAACAGACGTACATGACTTGCCGACAGATCCATGAGGAAGAACTGTAGCAGAGGGTACAACGTCACTCAGGCCCGAGTTGGCAGTGACAGCAAGCGGTGTTGTAGGCAAAGCATGGGACCCAGATGCGTCAGGCTTTCCCACGGGCTTTGGCAATGGAGAAATGACGGGCTCCAGGTGAGCGCTCTGCTCCAACAAAGACGGTGCAAACTTCGCAATATGGAAGCGGACATCCCTGACGATCTCGGCCTCTGCATCGAAATCCGCGTCCCAGGTGTCCAGCCGGTTAAGGCGGTCATCGTCCTCTGCTTGCTCAGCTGCCTCACGAATTTGTGCCTGGATGGCGTTCAGTTCCGAGAGAAGGGCTTCGGCCGTAGTCGAATCGTCCCATAGGTAGTGGCACGACGGGTCAGATTTGTCTAGCTCCGTGACTAGACGTTGCCTCAGACGGGTAAACCGTCGTTTGAGGTTGGTACGTTGCCGAACCAGTTGGCTTTCCATGTCCGCGTCCGCGACGACACGACAAGACGACAAACAAATTCGAATTAGTTGGCCGGGAACTGAGGTTGTCACGCCTGGTTACAGCACCATGTTATCAGGGCCGGATCCCCGATAATAGAACCATAATAACAGCAGGACTGGCTGTGAGAGGAAGGTTGTTATTATCAACTCAAACACTGATAGTGATCGTTTAGTAAGCAAAAAGGAACAACCAACGTTACTTGTTTCTAACACAACTGAACACAAAGGAAAGGGCCGCATGAGCACTACGTCATGCACTGCATGATGCAGTGAGCGAGCGCATGCGTGGGAATGTGCAGTGAAGCGAGTAACACTGCAGTACAGATATTGCAGAAGCATGCACAGACCAGATCTACTAAGAACAATACATGCACGTGTCATGAGCAGTACAGTGAGACTTCACGCTACAGTGGTCCGCGTGACAAAAATGAAGCCGAACCTGATAGCCATGAAAAATAAAATTTCCAAGGCCAGATTTACACCAGGCCCGAACGTGCCGGGCTTGACTGCTCAAACTGACAAGCCAGTGAGCTCTGCACAACACTTTTTTTCAAAATCTATCTCTTTTAAATTATCACCAGCAAATCCTACATATAGGATTTGGTTTCTGGTCAAAGGATTTCGCTAAACAACCTATGCAAAAGGATGAAATGGGTTTCATGAGGTGTTTGGAACTGTTTTCCATACACTTCTGTAGGAATAATCCAAATTTCAAGCCGATTGGCCAATCTTCCGGGTGAAACTTCTGATGTAGTACGGTTAAGAAGCACTAGATAGATATGGCAACCTGTGGCAGTGCTCCTCAATCAATCACAGACATCTATTCATGGTATCTGTGTGCTTATTCGGCATACTAAACATTCAATATTACTTTCCCTGCCAGTTCCATCACCATCTGCATCCATTTCAACACTCAAATCCTAGTGTTGAACAAAACCGATAACTCAGTTGTAAACTTATGGTCCTCTCTTCTCTTAACTCAAACCCTATAACAATGGATCTGTCAAAAAAACTGACATGCCGGCCCGGGAAAACACCTCTATAAGTCAAGCAATAATGCTGGTACTCTTGAAAACTTCTGAAGAGAACCTACTGATAGTGCCCTAACACGTTACAATACAATTTAGGCACACTGCAACTTATCCCGGGCGACAGCATGGCCATGATTATTGGAAAATTCAAAAAATCCTATATATAGGATTCGACAGTTTTAAAAAAGAGATATAGTTACCGTGAAGTCGCGGATAAAAGCCGGGTTTGCATACAAGCACATCGCGGATAGAAGCCTGAAAATCTAACGGGTCAAATGCATACAAGCCTGTCGCGCGTAGAAGACTGGCTTCTATGCAAGCGCGGATCGGGTAGGTCAAGAGTGCATGTGCTATGTACGGTGCATAGTAAAACTGCCGCCATACCGGTAGTCAGTGGTAGATCTACGCGTGTCGCGCGTAGAAGATGTGCATACAAGCCTGGCAAAATATCAGTGGTGCATATAAGCATGGTTTGCATACAAGCCTGGTTTGCATACAAGCCTGGTTTGCATTAAAGCCTGATGCAGAAAGCGGCTTACATGCTTATAAGCCCGGCTTTTATCCGCGACTTTACGGTATACGTCTTTCAACCTTTCCATTATTCCCTGTACTATCCTGAAGAGAAGGAAAATAAAACTTTTGATAGATGAAAGGAAGTGTATTCTTGATTGTGTAAACTTGAGTCGATGCATTCGAAGGTATAGAAGGCAAAATTAGTTTGACCACCTCCAAACCACTCTCAATATCCTCGTTTGATCCCTGGGCAATACCACAGAGTGCCAATATAGATGACTTGCAGGTCGTGCACGACGTGCCCCCCCCCCCCTCCCCATCACCATGGTTTGTGCAAATCCATTATTTTTCTATCTAATGGACATGTCTTATCAATACTACTCCAGCACAGGAAGCTCTTCAAAAGGCTTTCCGGTGTTTCTATAATACAATGGCAGTCAATGTTCATCGTGGAACAGGTAAATATGAAAATCATTATTCCACACTTCTTTTTTTCCTTACAGTGGTATTGGCCTCATCGACAAGGTTGGCCGCGGATCCTCCCATTTTCCTCAGGTACGTCCGTAGGTCTCCGTAGTGCATGTGTTCCAGACACACCATCGGCAGGTTCTTCGTGTCCAAGGCGACAGCTAGCAATGGCAACACATTTGGATGCCTGAAGTCCTTCAGCATGAACGCCTCTACCAAGAACTCGTCGATGTCACTTTCTGCTTTGATAGCTGTACAGCTCAACAAGAATAAAAACAATTTTCTTTCTAACACACTTAACTGCACAGGAGCTACCGGTACTTGAACTCCGAATGAGGCCATTCTTAATACCACTTTTCAAAAATCAGTACATCAGTGATAGCTTGTGCTCAAAGTAATAATTTTGATAAGTTTGTCAATCAAAAATCACTACCCTCTTCACGCCTCAAAATGCACAAAGAGATATGCATGTTGTCAGTTTCATTGAGCATACTGAAGGCACATGTTTATTTCTACATTGGAATACTGTAAGACCAGTAATGTTGTGAAAAGAAGAAGGACAAAATGTTACGCGTTATGACTAACTGTCCACCACCGTAACCTTCTTTTCACAATTATTTAATTGGCTCACCATCCGAGTTACATCATTATTGCACACCAGTAATGTTAACGAACATTTAATTATAACGAGTTAACAAATTTGAAAGAATCGTTAACATTTTGAAGTCATTATGTGCAAAACGATGTGTACATGTGCAGTCATTTGCTGGTTCTGAGGCAGAATTCGTTAGAATTTCACCTGGCTAACCCACAAAAATCCGGAGATCGTTAACTTTAATTGACGTTAAAATATCTGGTCTCATGGTAGTACCTTTCAGTGTTTTGATGGTGCATGGTACTGGCTCCTTGACGTTGTCCAGGATAACAGTGCCAATACAAACGCGTCGAAACGCCCCTGACAAGCAGAGAGAGTCACAGCAAAACATTAGAAGCAATTGACATCTGACATGGTGACAAACACTGTTTTCCAGTACTCCAGTACTGTTCACGAGGCTCTCCTTGACTATACATTAGATAGTGTGTCTGGACACGGACTATTGGATGCATTGTTCTGTGCATGTATGGTACTTTAGGTAACTGCAGGCTAGACGAGCCATACCGATTCTATGTGCATGCCCTACAGCATTATGGCGCTTTGCTGGTTTGTATTCATCCATTTTCACGGTACTTAGACATTTGAGGTAGACGTGTAGGCGCCTTTCCATAGATCATGTCAATAGACTAGTAGTGGGCACGCCAGACACTTTGTGGCATCGCCGGTGTTTCAGTATTGTCAGTTTGCACCTATGTGGTCGCAGTTCTATCGCGACAAGCTGTGCATTTGCCTCTAGGCAATTCACCTTTCCTTAGCTACGCTGCAGTTGTGCTGCGATATTCATCTATAGCATAATATTGGTCTGTGTGATCGAATCCATGTGTTCAATGCATTCTAGGTGGCTAACATAACAAACCAGACCAGACACGGTATGGACTCATGATTGTATGTAGGTGTGAACAAGTTAGTTTCTGGCAATGTTGTGGTGTTTGGTTTCCGCCCAACATTGTCGATCTGCATGTTTGCACTAGCGTGCAGCCGAACCAACGTGCCTTGCAATGCTTTGCTAGGCTTTTCTTTCACTGTATCTTTTTGGTCACATATAATACCGTACACTTTTGCTTTTACTCACTCTTTTTTTTTAGCACGTTTGCGTTTTGGTTATATCGAAGAACCCAGTGTGTAGTTACGATCCATCACAGTTTCAATGTTTATGGACTAGCGTGGTGTAGTCCTGCGGAACATTAATGGTAGCAGAGGATGGTTTATCGCGTTTCGTAGAAGTTGATTACAGAGAGAACTGTAGTCATGAGCACGTCCGATACCGAAAATCGGAGCACTGCAGGCATGGAGGATGCGGAGCAGGAGGTGGCATCGCAAGCGTCTGGTACGTCACTTTCGGATAGTGAACCAGAGGCGGTCGCCCTGTACTCAGGCAAACTCAGAGCGCTGAAAGTGCAAGTGAAGTCGGACTTCACCAACGCGAGAAGGACCCTGATCGTCGATCTCCGTCGGGTCAGTTCCGGTGAGTTGTCATTTGATCAGGTAGCAAGCTCACCCGTGTTGACTGAGTGTTACGAACGAGCTGCATCCGTAATTGCCGAGCTCGTTAGTGTTTACACCACGGAGGATAACAATAGTCAGGCAGAGAAGATGTTGAGAGAACTTGAGAAGTTGCAAGAAGAATATGCAGAGGCATCGGCTATGATTGTTGAGTATGGCAGAGGCGCAGTAGAAGACCCCGTCCCTAGATCTAGGAGGCTGTATGCAGCACCTCACGATAGTTCGCATGACGAAAGGTCAATTCAGTTTCAAGATAGTAGATACGACGCACGCACACGTGGGGCTAGCCCGTATTTACCGTTACAGAGACGATCGCTGAACTCGCGTCAGCTTTCGCAGAGCCTGAGTGATTTATCCATTCAGGGACCCCGAGATGCCGTGAACGTAGCTGCCGCCATTCACGAGGAGCACCACGCACCAGTTCAGGGATGGCCGCAAGCTAGTGATGAAAGGCGAACGCCAACCGGCCTGAGCGCGGATGGGGGAGATCAAACGAAAGAAATCCAAATCTCCTCAGAGCACGAACAGCAGTCTCAGAGAGAAGTCCCGCAGGTCACGCAGACAGCAGTGGCAGCTCCGCCACCCGCCACGAGTTCGTGTGTCGTACCGCAAACCTCGTCAGTTGCAGGACTCGTGGTGGCGCCGACCGCCTCAAGTGCAACATCCGCTACGAAGACGCAAGCTCCGCGCCAACCACGCGGTGCAGCAGAAGTCACAACACGTGCGACCGCGAGCACTTCGTATAGTGCACAATCTAGCAGTGCAAGTCGGCCTGCCGCGGGCAGGCAGCATCAGGCAAGTCAGGGCATCGCAGCCCACGCATCGCAGGCATCGAAAGCGAGGTCGACGCATTCACAGCCTGCCACTCGGCAGCACTTGACCAGTGCAAGTGCATTTTCTATGCCAAGGATCTACCCTACCCCTGGTGCGAATCCTGCATCTGCTAGTGCAAGCTACATATACAGCAGTAGTAGTTATGGTGCTAACAGCTACAGTGCCATGCCAAGTATGCAATTCAGTAGTCCCAACCAGTATGGAACACAGCAACCTATGTGGACAGGCAACAACATCACGCAGCCTAGCTATGCAACCTATAGCAACGTCCCACAAATGGTCGCACAGACACCAAGCATGACAACTCAGCATGGTCTAGCCTTACCTGCTGCAGAGTCCACCACCATGCCACAACCGCAGAGTGCACTGACGGCACCTCACCAACCGGAACCATGGCGTCAGCTGAAGCAGATCGGCATTCCGACATTCAACGGCGACAAAAGAAAATTCGAGTCTTGGCGTGCGGCGTTCATGGCATGCATAGACGCATCTCCGGCAGCACCAGAGTACAAGCTACTGCAACTCAGGCAGTACCTAGTCGGCGACCCACTGGACTCCATCGATAGCTTAGGCTATTCCCCTGCTGCGTACGAGGCCGCCAAAGCGCTACTGGTCAGGAAGTATGGCGGAGAACGCAGGCGTGTCGCGATCCACGTAGAAGAAATCGAGCAGTTCGGTAAGGTTGGCTACAACAGAGCGTCCGAGTTCGAGAAATTCACGGAGCTCCTCGAGGTAGTAGTCATCAACCTGAAAGACAGCGGCCGGGCCGCAGAACTGGAGGCTGGTACGTTCTACCAGAAGCTCCTCCGTAAGTTCGACGAACGTGTGCTTGCACAGTACCATCGATGGCGGTATGATCGGCAAGTAGAAGAGTCCGTCGAAGCCCTGCTCGAATGGGCACGAGTAGAATCAGAGCTAATGATGATCTCGGCAGAAACGGTGAGCGGCGTAGCAGTAAAAACCACGCCCCAACAGCAGCAACCACCCCGAGATAACCGGTTCCAGAGGCGTAGTGCTCCGCCTAGTCGCAACCACGCATATCATGCTCAACAGAAGAGCGACGTCAACTGTGCAGTATGCAAAGGCGCACATCCCCTGTGGAAGTGTGCGGCATTTAAGGTCATGTCGGTCAATCAGCGTTGGCGGCTCGCCAAGCAGAGCAACGCGTGCTTCCGGTGCTTGGGCAGTGGCCATGCTGGCAAGGACTGCCCCCGTGATCGTGAGTGCCCGGTTAGTGGATGCATCAAACATCACCACCCGCTGCTCCATGGCAGCAATGTTACCGGCAGCGCACAGCCAACTCCGGAAGCTGAGAAGCCCGCACCCCAGACATCACTGGTCACGACTGTCACAGAGGGGGAGCCAGAAGCAGCGACACATGTGGCACAAGGGCGCCGGACGGACCGTGTAGCTCTACGGACAATCCCGGTGACACTGTGCAACGGCCAGCAGTCAGTGACTGTCAACGCTTTGCTGGACGATGCCAGCACTGTGACGTATGTGCACACTAGTATCGCCACTCGACTCGGTTTGAGTGGCAAACGCCAACGGACGACGGTCAGCACGCTCAATGGCAAGCTGGAGACGTTCGAGACTATGCCAGTAGACATCGGGCTGAGGAGTGTTGATGGCAACTTGAAGCAGACGATCACGGCGTACACCACCGACAAATCCGTGACTGGCGACCTTCGCGCAGTCGACTGGCTAGAAGAGGCTAGTAACTACCCGCACCTGAGGGAGATTCCATTCCCAGCGGTGGGAGAACACGACACTGTAGATATGCTGATCGGCAGTGACCAAGTCCAGCTGCACGTATCGACGCGTGACGTCATTGGTGAACCTGGGCAACCTGTCGCTAGGTTAACACCGCTCGGATGGACCTGCGTAGGGAAGCTCAGAGCACCCAACTCCAAGCAGACGCAGGGCCCACAGCCCAACCGTTCGTACTACGTCGGTGGAGACAAGTCAATTGCAGGAGTCGAGCAAGCCCTGCAACAGTTCTGGAAGGTCGACAGCTGTGGCGTCGAGACGGACAATGCGGCTCCAGGACCAACATCGGCAGACGAGGCCGCAGCGGTGAAATTAGTGGAAGACTCCACGCGGCTAGTAGACGGCCGGTATGAAGTATCGATACCATGGAACAGTCGTAAGGCGGAGTTAGTCAACAACGTTGATATGGCGACTAAGCGGCTGGAGTCAACACGTCGACGACTGCAACGTGAACCGCAAGTAGCCCGAGCATACGCCAGAGTGATCCAAGATTACCTCGAGAAAGGATATATCACCGACGTCACTGACGAAGCGCCTACCGACCAATGCTGGTATCTGCCACACTTCGCCATTGTGCGGCCACAGAAGACGACAACTAAGGTCCGGATTGTGTTTGACGCAGCCGCCTCCTACCACGGCATCTCACTTAACGACGCCATCCACGCCGGCCCGAAGTTGCAGCGAGACCTTTGCGATGTTCTCACCCGGTTCCGAAGAAAGCCCATCGCCGTTGCCTGCGACGTAGCAGAGATGTATCTGCAAGTTTCAATACGCCCCGAGGACAGGCCGTACCACCGCTTTTTGTGGCAGGACCCGGCCTCCGATGGTCCGGTCAAGAAGTACCAGTTCAACCGCTTAGTCTTCGGTGTAAACGCGTCGCCATTCTTGGCTCAGTATGTCGCCCGCCAAGTCGCGGACGCAAGCGTCGATACCCACCGATCAGCAGCAGAGGCCATCCTGGACAGTACGTACATGGACGATACGATGGACAGTACTGCCACGGTCGCCGACGGTACCAAGCTCCATGACGACCTAATGGAGCTGTGGGGGAAGGCAAGCATGCGACCGAGAAAGTGGTTATCCAACTCGACTGCGTTGCTGAGTACGATCCCAGAAGAAGAACGCGCAGCGGATGTCGACCTGACGGTGGGAGACCTACCATCGGTAAAAACGCTCGGAGTGACATGGTCTGCCCTCGATGACGAGTTCACGTTCCGCGTGCAGCAACCGGATCTGCCCAAGCGTATCACAAAGCGCTACCTCTTGCAGCGGACAGCAGCCGTATTCGACCCACTCGGCTTCATATCGCCGTTCGTCGTTCGAGGCAAGATGCTGATGCAGGAATGCTGGATGAGTGGCGTCGACTGGGACGAGCAACTTCCCGACGCGATAGTTGATAAAGCCCAGCAATGGTTCCAAGAGTTGAGCGAGCTCAGCAACGTCCGAGTCCCGCGTCAATTTGAAGCATCGACCGGCAAGCTCGAGCTGCATGCATTCTGCGATGCGTCCAGCGAAGCCTATGGAGTTGTTCTGTATGCGAGAAGTGTGCGCGAAGATGGAACAGCGGAGTGCAGATTCCTCGTGTCGAAGAGTCGTGTCGCGCCTACCGCCGCTACCAGCATTCCCCGGCTCGAGCTCATGGCGGCAGTTCTCGGCCATCAGGTTGCCACTCGAATGAGTAAAGTGCTCGACGTGCCACTTAGTACTGTCACCTTCTGGAGCGATAGCACGACGGTCCTCCACTGGATTCGTAGCTATAGTCGGCGGTTCAAACCATTCGTCGCGAATCGCGTCAGCTACATCCAGCAGCGTACCGCACCGCGACAGTGGCGCTACGTCCCTACGGGACAGAACCCAGCTGACCTGGCATCACGAGGAGTTTGCGTCAACGACCTGGTCAACGCAGACCTATGGTGGCAAGGACCGGCGTTTTTGAGCAACGGCTCAACCTGGCCAGCCACGGAGCTAAAGGATACTTCGGGGTTGAGCGACGACCCGGAAGTTCGCAAGGCAGCTGTGCAGGCGTCTGAGAGCGCATTCGTGACGCAGCAGATCACCGTCGTGCAACCAAGCCGCTACTCCAACTGGACGAGACTTGTGAGAGTTCAGGCATGGATCAACCGGTTCGTCAATAACTGCAGACAAGGGGACCGCGTCAGCGGAGAGCTAAACATCCAAGAGTTGGAAGCGGCGGAACTTGCCATCATCTACGGAGCGCAGCAGGATGCATTTGGTGACGACATCAGCGCACTGAAGAAGGGGAAGACTCTGCCAGCAGCATCGCGGTTAGCAAAGATGTGTCCGCGACTGGATGAGGATGGCCTACTACGTTGTGACGGCCGCACCCGCCTAGCTGACTGGCTCCCGTACAGCACGCGCTTCCCGATCATTCTACCCCGGAAACATGAAGTTACGTCGCTAATCGTGAAGCACCACCACGAGCTGCGACAGCATGGTGGCACGAACGAGACGCTCGCGGCATTGACAGAACGGTTCTGGCTGGAGTCTGCCCGAGAGGAGATACGCCAGTGGGAAGCTGAATGCATGGTGTGCCGACGTCGCAAAGCCAGGACGGCAGAGCAAGTTATGGCGCCGTTGCCGAAGGTCCGGCTCGCTACACCGTTGAGAGCCTTCGCTAGAGCCTCGGTAGACTATGGCGGCCCATACTTAACGAAACAAGGGCGGGGACGCAGCCAAGCCAAACGTTACCTCTGCGTTTTCACCTGCCTGCTAACCCGAGCCGTACACCTCGAGATGAGCTACGGCCTCGACGCCAGCTCGTTTTTTAACGCGTTCTCAAGGATGGTCGCGCGCCGTGGAAAACCGCTGGAGATCATTTCAGATAATGGGACGAATTTCGTGGCAGCCGATCGTGAGCTGAGGGAACTGGTGGAGGCTCTGGATAACGACGCAGTTTTCAAGTCCCTGGCCAACCGTGGGGTGGCTTGGAAATTCAACCCGCCGCTAGCCCCGCATTTCGGCGGAGTCCACGAAGTAATGGTTAAGGCGGCGAAACGCGCCCTCAAGGCAGTTCTCGGCAATGCTGACCTGACGGATGAGATGCTGGCAACTGCGCTCACGAACGCCGAAAGCCTTATGAACAGCAGACCGCTCACGTACCAGTCGGCCAGCCCTGACGACAGCTCGCCGCTAACGCCGAACCACTTTCTGACGGGTCAGATGGGCGGTCAGTTCGCCCCAGAAAGCGTAGACACCACAGGTTTCCACCCCAACCAGCGATGGCGGCAAGTTCAAGACGTGGTGAAGCAGTTCTGGCGGCGCTGGCTCAAGGAGTGGGTGCCGACTCTCAACGCGAGACGGAAGTGGCTAAAAGAACGGAGAGACGTGGCAGCAGGAGACATCGTCTTGGTATTGCAACCGGATGCACCACGTGGGCACTGGCCACTCGGACGCGTCATGGAGACCAAGCCGGGCCCAGATGGTCACGTGCGTGTTGTGGAGGTGCAAGTCGGCGGGAAGCGAATCACCCGTCCCATCACCAAGATCTGCCCGCTAGATGCATAGAGAAGATGGCAGCTAGAGCTGTACGTATTCAGTTATGGTGGTAACACAAGTAAGACAGAAGCAGTAGTTCAATAGATGCAGCATACATTGCAGGCATATCACATAAGCACCACAGTGTTATCATTTTTATGTTTACCACATCTTTTTGCCACGCAGTGATTAGACCGATAGAGGTACAACACATGAAATTGTAAGCTAGGTAGTAGTGGAATACGCTGCGAGGTAACTCATCGCGTATTCGAGGGGGAGGATGTTCACGAGGCTCTCCTTGACTATACATTAGATAGTGTGTCTGGACACGGACTATTGGATGCATTGTTCTGTGCATGTATGGTACTTTAGGTAACTGCAGGCTAGACGAGCCATACCGATTCTATGTGCATGCCCTACAGCATTATGGCGCTTTGCTGGTTTGTATTCATCCATTTTCACGGTACTTAGACATTTGAGGTAGACGTGTAGGCGCCTTTCCATAGATCATGTCAATAGACTAGTAGTGGGCACGCCAGACACTTTGTGGCATCGCCGGTGTTTCAGTATTGTCAGTTTGCACCTATGTGGTCGCAGTTCTATCGCGACAAGCTGTGCATTTGCCTCTAGGCAATTCACCTTTCCTTAGCTACGCTGCAGTTGTGCTGCGATATTCATCTATAGCATAATATTGGTCTGTGTGATCGAATCCATGTGTTCAATGCATTCTAGGTGGCTAACATAACAAACCAGACCAGACACGGTATGGACTCATGATTGTATGTAGGTGTGAACAAGTTAGTTTCTGGCAATGTTGTGGTGTTTGGTTTCCGCCCAACATTGTCGATCTGCATGTTTGCACTAGCGTGCAGCCGAACCAACGTGCCTTGCAATGCTTTGCTAGGCTTTTCTTTCACTGTATCTTTTTGGTCACATATAATACCGTACACTTTTGCTTTTACTCACTCTTTTTTTTTAGCACGTTTGCGTTTTGGTTATATCGAAGAACCCAGTGTGTAGTTACGATCCATCACAGTTTCAATGTTTATGGACTAGCGTGGTGTAGTCCTGCGGAACAAGTACTACACACTCTGCATAAGCGAAATCGTCGATCATTTGATTGACAATGACGCGAATATGCAGATAATAATAATAATACACATCTTGCTTCGGCCAACTACCCTTCAAGGTGTGCGTTGTCGATATTGCTGTCTATGTCTACGTGTGTGCCACTATATGGGGAGCGAGAAACACCCTCTTCTTTGCCATGGTTTCAGGACGAATTTGTGATATAGCTTTCGGCGATAATTTTATAGGAAAGTAATTTCTCCCCACACTGGAGCTCGCAATTCTCCGCCGACTTGACTCGTCCCTTGACTGACTCACCACTGCTATCCATCATCATCATGATATCATGTGACAGTTCCTGTGAGAGTCAGCCAGGGTACTGTTCACAGTTTCGTGAACGAATCACCACCAAGAAGGATCTGACAGGGATGAATTTATCCGGTATCGCATCGCAGTTTGCTATGCAAAATCGATCTACTGCTGCTCAAAAATCACCGCGACTAGCAGAAAACTGCGATACATACAGGCTACCCATGCCTAGCTTGCGCCGTCAAGTAACAAAAACTGCTATGCAAAAAAATAACAGTAAATTCGTCCCTGGATCAAGACATCCTTTATTGCCCCATCCCGGATTAAATCGGGCAAAATAATTGCAGCTCAAACGGCCAAAGTCACGGTTATCTTGATTTGTCTCTGTGCACTGAAACATGGAGAAGTATCTCTCACCTTTGCCAATCTCGTACCCGACCAGTATGGCTGAACACGGCACTATGCGAGTATGATACCTGCCTCGTGTCACCACGGACTCAATGCGCTGTCTCCTGGCGTCGGCCAGCGCTGCACGCGTCTTTTCTCTTTGACATTGGACTATGGTCTGAATGAGCAGTATGACTACAACCAGAAAGATAACGGAACCGGCAATGATGCCAGCCAGCTCCGGCGTTGAGAGCCCTGCGTCCTCATTACCGTCGCCACCTATCACTGATGGTGTTGTGGCCACAGCAAGACAGATTTCGAGAAAAAAAACACGTGAGCACAGCGTAGTTACGTTTCAATGCTTGATCTTCTGCAAGTTCTGGTTACAAAATGCAGCATAAAATTAATATCTCAGTGTAACAAATAGACAAACCCTGAACCTTGCATATCACTAGGTTGAATAAGTGACGATTGAAGAATGAAGAATGAAATAATGATACTGGGAAAAGTCTGCGGGGTGTTGAACCTCATTTAGGCAGTGGCATACCTTGGTTGTACACGGCCATAGAGAGTTGCGTGTCTGATTGTGTGTGCTATCATGTGTGTTTGTATGTGTGTGTGTGTATGTGTTTGTGTGTGTGTGTGTGTTTGTGTGTGTGTGTGTGTGTGTGTGTGTATGTGTGTGTGTATGTGTGTGTGTGTGTGTGTGTAGTGTGTGTGTGTGTGTGTGTGTGTGTGTGTGTGTGTGTGTGTGTGTGTGTGTGTGTGTGTGTGTGTGTGTGTGTGTGTGTGTGTGTGTGTGTGTGTGTGTGTGTGTGTGTGTGTGTGTGCTTATATATATGACGCTTATATCAGATCCACTCTGACTTAGCCACCCACACTAGTAGCAAGTATTACCTTCACTGGGGGCAGGGGTAACTGCAGTTGGATCCCAGGACGGATACCCTGATGCCGTCAATCCTTTTTCTGCACCTTGTCCTCACCCACTTACTGAGGTGTGGTGAGCCCATAAGTGGGACCATTTTCAAGTCCACCCAGAGTTTTGGGGATTTCAGGGGGTGTCACCCGTTGGGCGGTTCAATAGCCAGTTGAATCATCTTTCCAAGATTCCTTTTCAGTCTCTCTCCCTCTCCCGGGGAGACCCACGTGACCAGTTTTGGCAGTGAGCAACAAGTACAAGTACAAGTGTGTGTGTGTGTGTGTGTGTGTGTGTGTGTGTGTGTGTGTGTGTGTGTGTGTGTGTGTGTGTGTGTGTGTGCGGGCGTGTGCATGTGTGTGTGTATGTTACGCTATGTGTATGTTTTGTGTGTGTGTGTGTGTGTGTGTGTCTCCGCATGTGTGTCCTTAGGGATGCCTGGTTGTGACAGAGTTGGAGCTACCATGCCAGTGTAGAGAAACCTATCATGCTTTCACACTGATATCGTCTTGGCTACCTCATGTCTTGGGCAAGAGCAAACATTGCAAACAATGCAGATAGACTTACGTGCACAGATTTTTACCATGGACAGCACCGTGCTACCATTGGTCACATGACCACCGGTCATGTTGCCCTGGCGATCACTGCACTCCAAGTGGTTCAGATTTGCTTTGAAGTTGTCGACGGTGTACGGGTACGAGGTGATATTGTAGTTGAGGTAGGCTTCGAATGCTATGGCTTCATCCGATTTGCCAGTGCAAGGTAATGACATCCTGAAGGCTGGGTGAAGGTGAGACAAGATACATTGAAAGTCAAAGTATAATTACGGTTTGATGCAGTATCATGGGTTTTCTCTTCATTTCGCTTGAAAAACCTCATTTAGGTCTCCAGGGTACTAGGGCATATGTGAGGAGCTTGTGAATACGAGGAGGTTGGCATTGCAGCAATATGTCAAGTCCCACAGAAATTGTGAGGCTCCCAAATCGAAAGAATGCTGCCAAGTGCAGTACTGGGGTGAGGGGAAGAACTGTGTCGTAGCCTAGGTCGTTCTGATACAGTCAAACCTGCCATTAGGGCCGACTTCCACTATGCTACCATGAGTGCCGTGCCATGAGTACCCATGGTGATTTGCTCACGTGAGGGGCAGTTTTGGCGCGAGTTCATTCCGTGGCTCGTGCAGGGGCCATTCCGGTGCCGAGGGCCACTGGGGGTGGAAACGGCATGCAGTGGTCTTCCGTGAGGTAGAATGCGGTGAGTAGTAGATATTTTACTACTCCATGGCAGGAAGTCAAACCATCAGCATACGGTCGAAGGCCGGAAATTGGCACCCACCGGGCTAGCATCCAGCCGCCAAAGGTGGGGCCATGCATCATTATACCAGTATATGGATGTTAAATATGTTGGTAGGTAAACAACAGAGAAAAATACACAACACTTTTTTGCTAGTTTGAGGGAAAGACGCAAACAGGAAAAGTCTGAAGAATAAATTGACTCGAACGAGGGACCCTCGCTTGTAGCCAGCGATGCTCTAACCATGCACTGAGCTATGGTGTAGCCGTCATCCCAGCAGAGACCGTTCAATATTTTCTTCAGACTTCGTAACTCACACATCCGGTGAATCCACAGGCGAGTGGGACGCATTGAAAAATAGTATCATACTATTATTATTATCCTGGTTCGATTCCTGGTGGTGATATTCATTTTTTCTTCAGATTTTTCCCTTTTTCGCGACGACGACGACGACGATGGCAGCGGTGGCAACAAGCTAGTGATTACTTACACGTGTAGTTGGTGGAAGGCACACAGCCCACCAATGGTGTGTTCGCCCTGGGTGTCTCCAATACTGTAGTGTTGTCCGAGACAAAGTACATATTGTAGTCCACCGTTTCCTGGGACAGCACAGAGGACGGTCAAAGGTTCAGTTTGGATGAGCAACTGAGCATAGATAGACGGAAGATTAATATTATCACAATTGTCTGCCGGGGGGGAGTACATGTACATACTGTTAGACCAGATTTCTTAACGTCAATTAAAGTTAACGATCGCCGGATTTTTGTGGGTTTAGCGAGGTGAAATTCTAACGAATTCCGTCTCAAAACCGGCAAATGACTGTACATGTACATATCGTTGTGTACATAACGACTTCAAATGTTAACGATTCTTTCAATTTCGTTAACTCGTTAGAATTAAATGTTCGTTAACATTCCTGGCCTTACAGTAGTTTAACTCCCTGACAAACGTGTTGGTGCCCATAGTAGTGCTGACATGACAACCCGTGAAAGGCCACATGGCTTTGCAGCACTGGTGCACATGTTCACTCTGCTCCCCAACACAACCCCCGGTGGCATAGACGTACTTCGAAGTAGTGTTTCTCACCAGTTCATGACTGTATCATCCTCCTCTTCGCAGCCTCTTTTGCAACACATAATGGCACAGTATGCAGCCACCGTTTTCTTTTTTCTTTGCTCTATTTCACGCACTTACGGCTTTCTTCATTCAGCTCTATTTCACGCACTTACCTAGGGTACCCTGTAAAAAGACTCACAGTCTGTGGGGATTGCCCTAGTAAAATAATAAATACTACTACTACTACTACTATCATCTTTTTTTTTTTGTAGTGGAATGGCGAGCTATTGAAACAAAGCTTTCGAAATCATAATTCCCCCAGAAAAGCTAGAAACGCTATAGTTACTTTTAAACTTCATTTTGTCTTGCACTCAAGCAGAACTCAAAGACGATAGGCAACAAAGAGTTGGTGTTCGTCTTACGTTGGGCGACCGATTCCACTCCATTGCAATGTACGTGTACTGTTCGCCGAATCGAGCCAGGTCTAAAGTTTTCAGAAACTTCAGGGACGATGCCTCTTGTCCGTTGATTATGAAATTGATAGGTTCTGTACACAAAAAAGGGGGGGAAGAGACCCAGGATGACATCACCAGACACAAAGATGTTGAGCAAACTTCCAGAAGCAAGAGATTCCGATGCCGCAATACAAGTAGCAATACCACAACAATGAACGCCAAGCTCATCCTGTGGTACTTTATGAGTGTGTAACGGTGCTGCCTTTTGTGCAGTGTTCGCATCACCACTGCCTGGTGCTACGTGTACTCAAAGTATGAGTAACAATATCATCACAGAGATAGACATATACAGTCCAGAAGTGCCGATTATCCGCACCCCTCGGGGCACGAGGCTGTCTTTTTCTTCTTCTTCTTTTCTACTCGTATTAACACAGCCCAACCGGAAAACATGAGAACGGAAAAGGAAAGAACAAGACATAGGGGATGTAGGGACGACGTGCCGATGTGCTGGGAGCAACTCAACCGACCAGAGGTCTCGGCGTCAGCGTTGCAACTAGGCATCGAAAAATGGGGGGGGGGGGTGTTGTTGCACGAGAAGACTGCAAAACAAACGGAAGCTAGGAAATACCACAAAAATAATAACTTGGTGCGAAAAATAATAATAGTTTCACCCAGTGAATATGCAATGAATAAGATAAACTGCTCAGTCCTTCTATGTTATCATGCAGCGACTCATACACACAACATCCAGGAACGATTGGCTGTCTCTAAGAACGTTTTCTTGCGATGGTCATCAGTCAGAGTACATCCGTGAGTGGTGAACAAAGAATATCAAAGAATGAAACAAGTTGATATTTTAGTGAATGAACAAAGTAAAAACAAGTGTGATAAAACACGTGTGTAATGCCGTTTTGGATGCCATGTTAGACGTGTCTTTTCCTGGCCAAAGTGCTGGGGATTTTGTGTTCTTGTTGTTCTTTTCTTGTTCTCTCTCCATTGCCAACTTGCATTTTCATATTTATACATTTCCACCAAGAGGCTGCCGTTTGCGCGGGCGTGTTGTGTTGGGCTAAGAGGGGTGGTAGAGAGAATAGACAGTTCCAGTTCTCCCACAAGAGAGGGCGAAAAAAGAAACAATCAAGCGCACAATGCAGCTACGGTGCTAAGGAAAGAGTGGGAGTGCTGTGTCATAATCTTCTTTTTTTTTTTTGACTGACCGCGCTCTCTATCTTATTCATTGCCATTCTAAAACTTCTGTCTCCTCGTCGACTCTTCAAAGAAAATTATTATTATTACTTCGTATTATTACTAATCACATTTCCGCGTCAATGTCAGCAATTTCCAAAGGATAAATGCCCACAGATTCGCACACGCTGAATGGAGATGGGAAAGGGACAGCCAACGCGATCCTTCCCCTTCTTCGCCATCACACCCTGGAACAACCTGCCTGCGGACCTCCTGCTTCACGAGCCTCATTCAAGACGCCTCCAAACCTTCAAGGTCAACGTATGTAAGGATCTAATCCGAAAGAGATGGCTGTGGTCCACACAGTATCTGTGACGATGATATTGAGATTTGAGACCCATTTAGTATTTACCTCTCTACTACTACTTGCTTGTTATGATTATTGTTCTCTTTCTTCATTTTCCCTTCTGGTTTAGTCATTACACGTATTTATAATTATTATTTGGTGCAATACTAGCGCCCCTTTCTCGCACCAAATTATTATTTTTGCTACCTGACCATGCACCCCCCCCCCCTTTTTTTTCGATGCCAGGTTGCAACGCTAACGCCGAGACCCCTGGTCGGTCGAGTTGCTTCCTGTACATCGGCACGTCGTCCCTACATCCCCTGTGTCTTGTCTTGTGTTTGTCTCCACATGTCTCTTTGTAGGGCTGTGTTCCCAATAAAAAATAAAAAAAAATAAAAATAAAAAAAAAAAAAAAAACAATAGACAACACGACAAGGGTCAAGAAAAACAGACCAATAGCTAGCACGAGGCACAACATCAGTGCATGCATGCGGAACCAATCGAGGCCCCAGAGGCAAACTCTGTAGTCTCTATCAACAGAGTAGCGTTACAAAAGACAGTATGAAATAGACAAACAAATAGCAGGGAGAAATATTGTGGCACTGTGCCAGAACAACGACAGAGTTCACAGAACTATGTCATCTAAGAAAATAATAACGCCTAAAGGTGCTACTTCAAAAGTAAGTACGAAATAAAGAAAGGCGAAATCATACACAACATAGCAACAAAGTTGCACCAAGTAATAAGTTAAAATAATAACTGAACTGGGTGAATAAACCAAGAAATCATCACAATGTCAGAAGAAAAGGTTTGAATCGTATCTCAACTGCTAGTGTTAGATTGTGACTGCTGATGAGCGCGTTTACAGTCTTCATTTCAATACTATGGTTTTGTCTCCTCGCCGAATATTTCAATCATAACAAAACGAACTGATGGTGGTGGTGGTGAGAAGGAGAGCTCTGTGCCAGAACTTTGCAGCCTAGAGAGCGTGTGTGGGCAGGCGTGTGTTTACCGCCATACTGCCAGGTGTGTCTTTACCACCATATTTATCAACCAGAAGTACAGCTGCAGTGGTGTCTTCAACTTCATTTTATAACAAAACGAAACAAACTAATACTGAAAGGTAAATGAAACTATAATATTGTATCACGAACAGCACTCGATATTGCGGAGATGGTTTCATCAGCGGCTGTCCATCGCCCATGTCCAGCGAGTGTGACGAAGATGCTGTCTCCAGGGTGTTCGGATGAGGAGTATGTTCAGATAAGAGAGCGGACACACATCTATGCAAAAACATGCACATCCTCCCTGTTTTCATCATTTCTCATTCTCCTCGGCAGTATTTCAGGAACTAGACACACTTCAGCTCCTCAAAATGGCACATTGGACACCCATAATTATCATAAGCAGGCATAGTGCGATGGTCTAAGACTAAGATCATGATTGAGAAACAGAAAGCAGCATACCGCCTATTTGGGCGCATTCCTATCACTCGAGTTGAACTCAAGTTGAACCTTGCGAGTGTGAACGTTGACGCCTGCAGGCACGGTGACCAGGTGACTTGAGCGCACATGAGCACGTGACCGCTTATTCAACTATGTTCGATGGGGAAAACGGGCCGAACGCTGGATCGCAGCTTCTCGGACCAAAACCAGTCGACTCAGCGCCCGAAAGACGACAACATATGGGCCAATCGCGGACATCCGTGCTTTCATAAGAACGAAATGGCGCCTTTAGAGACATTTTACATACAAATCCCCATCTACTGTTGTGGACATGGAAATCCGGTCGCAAGTCTAGCGGCCTCAGGGCGCTGGCCATGCAGCCGGGGGTACTAAGTAAGTGGTACACACATGCTTTTTAATATGCGCTGTAGAGCGCTGGCCCCATCGGATCAACATGTGCACTGCACGCAGCGCTCTGTACGCGCTGAGGGCGCCGGCCCCGGTCAATCGACTGGATTTTACTGTAGTAGGGCGCAGTCACCCAGTTTCGGTGGAAGTGCGCGAGTTCGATTGGGAATACAGGAGGAACGGAGACCATTCGACTCAGCACCCCGAAGACTACAACTGGTCAAAATTTGATTGGTAATAATCATAACGGTAGATAACAGCTTCCGTAACAGCTTCCGTACTTCGGAAAGGCAAGAGAGAATACCTACCGTGAATGCAACAAATCCCCTTATCACTGGCCTGCAAGGTATTGCTTGCTTCGAATCTTTGCGCCTAGTTTCCGTTCGACCTGGCAACAAAGTCAATGTGTGCGCTTGTGTGCGTATGTGCGCGCGTCTGTACGCATGTATCTGTGAGTGTCTCAAAGATCCTCCCACACAAACACAATGACAACACTCTTCACAATCGGAAACGGCCCTCAGCCACACAATGTCAATGGGCCGTGCTCGAAAACTTACGTTTGAACTTGTTTTCTACACGGAACTGTTCGTCTACACGTAAGCTGAACCCGCGTGCACTCTCCAGGCGGCAGCAGCACGCAATGACCCATAACACCACCACTCCGGTAGCGGGCAGAGGACGCGCTCTGCCGCGCAATGTCCGTTCTTTCATCTTGCACACTCGCCTGGCCTGCCGCTTGCCTCACTGCGTCAGCTCCACGCGCTGCCCTGAGCGCTGGTTCTGGATGACCTTCATGTACAAGTAAAAGTCCTGCAGATTCTACTTCTCACTTCTCAGCGCTACCGTGTACCAATAAGGTGGAACAAGACCTACCTTGGCACTTCGCAAACGCCGCGCTGAAGCCTGATCATACAGTAGCCGCTTTCCAGCTGAAATCTTCGCCCACGTAAACTGAGTTTATCCACATCAAGCGGCTGCCGTTTCTGCGAATATGCCCAGCCTGCCGAGCCTGTGCTAGTGAGTTCCGGTTCGCATTTCGTCAGTCGTGAACATCCCTGTCATAATCTAGACTAGTACTAGTAGTAAGAAACTAGTATGACTCTACTCATCCCTATACTAGGCTATCTAGTAGTCATGTTACCTAGCCCCGGCCCGGTCCTAGGATCGGATTTGGTGGGTTGAGCTATTTTTGGTTTCATGTACAAGAGTAGATCTGTAAAATTATGACATATTAAAGTCAATATACTTGTCAAGTAAAATGTCTCGCGTGATGTCTTTCATCTATCGTTGCGTTCCTGCATCATGTGCCTCCGTGGGCGTGGAAACCCGTGGATGCAGACGGCTCTTTGTGTCAGAAGTGGGTGATAGCAGCGGCAGACACCGACGCCGATTATGGTGCTCCATCTTGTGGTGCTGGTGGCCTGGCACGAACGAGACTTCTCTAATGAGTAATCATGGTGATATAATGGTGGTGTTTCTCAGCACAATCGCAATGCTGATGTGCAAACTTTACTTGGTCGCCCGAGCACAAATAATAATAATAGCACATTTCGCGTAGTAGAACACTAAAATTAAAGAAATTCAGTGTTTTTTCCGCTTCTGTCTTGTGAGCATCACCGAGTACTGGGTTAATTTTATTATAGCAGTACAGGTGCATGTATGTACGTATTCATTTTAAGTTGCTTGTTGGTAGCGAGATTGAGACACTCCTGAATCGGCACATTCAGAGGCTTGAGCCTTGAGGTCTTCTTTGACATTGTCGACCCATCGCTTGTGGGGTCGTCCTCGGGGCGCTTGATGTGCCGAAGTATTGAGGGCTAGCTGCCGAGGTATTGAGGGCTAGCTGCAGTGCCTTGTACATGTAAGAGGCCGCGTCTGGTCCCTCCCCCCCCCCTCCCGGGGCAACGTGCCCCAGCCACAGGAGGCGGCGCTCTTTACAGGTTTGCGAGATGGGGGCTTGGGTGGTCTTTCCGTAAACATTCTTGTTGGCGATGTGGTGAGGGTGGATAATGTTCATAAGATATCGGAGCTTGCGACGATACCATGCATCCTGGCGATTTTCCAGCTTCTTCGTTTGTGACCAAAGGGCACAGTTGTAACGTTATGAGAGTACCGGTACGCGGTACAGGCAAAATCAAAAACTTTAATTCAACAATAGACATCATACATAAACGAGATTCAGAATTGTGATTTCCAAGCAGCGGAACCAAAAAGCACGGTTTGTTGCATTTATTCTAGAATCAACATCCTCAGTTGACCCTAGCAAAATGTATTCATTGGTTTGAGGGAAAAGTCTGATTAAAAAAAATTGACTGTCACCGCCAGGACTGGAACCATTTGCCCTCATCCGTGCTGCTGTTAGCCTGTTGCCAGTCTGCGAGGCCATCGGCACCGAGTGCTCTCAGATGCAAACGACTCGGCCCGATTCGCGGTTGCCATGAGCAGCATCGGTTAAAGCTCCCTCTCGAGGCTCCATACTACTAATGTTACTAGACTGTTTTCACAGCCATTTTTGCTCTCTCGACTGTCTTCACAGCCATTTTGCTCTTTCGACTGTTTTCACAGCCATTTTTGCTCGTTTTTCTTCCGGTGCTAGCATGCTGTTGAGGTTGCACTCGTAATTGTGTTTATTCTGCCCGTACAAGAGGCTTGGTTATACTCGTCCTCTTAAAATAAAAAAAACAGGGACCCTCGCTTGTAGCCAGCGATGCTCTAACCACAGAGGTATGGTGTAGTCGTCATCCCAGCAGAGACCGTTCAATATTTTCTTCAGACTTCGTACAGGTATGAGCGGTGTACGAGTAACAGTCTTACTTTCCATCTGGTTGTTTCATTTGGCTGGAGAACTAACCTGCTCGTTTGGTCCTACGAATTCAAGCACTAGTAAAACAAACAAACAAACCTGCTGCTGCTGCTGCTGATTGCCTACATATGAGTAGGTCTGTCCGTAGTATGCGGTTGTACGTTTGAGTTCTTTACTCTTCTACTTCGAAGTACGAGACTCGTAATCATATGACTGTAGCCTTTGGCGGACAATGGCGGGAGTAAACTTGGCGGAATTTGGTATTTTCACAAGAACTTCGTCTGGTTTCTATGAGCCACGATTTTACAAATCAGCGAGCCACTCGTGGCAGATCGCGCTGCGCATATTTGTTTGAGTTTGAAAAGGTCTTCTTCATCACGGCGCGGCACACACGAATGGCGCTTGGTGTTGTAGTTTTTATGAGTGTGTAGCTGCCATCATTAACTTTCCAGAGAGTGGTTGTTTGTGAGAAATGGCCAAAGGAGAGCAGAGATAAAACAAAAGTCTTATTTTTGTAGACTGTGAATTGACTCCGAAAATAATGGGTAGTGAAAGGGTTAAAATATTTTTTAATGAGTAAGACATCAGGATAAAAATTAATGTGCTGGACATCTGAACACTGAACCAAACATAATGTTAGCAGTGCTGTTAAAAAGATTGTTCGTTTTGCAGGTAGCACTGTTAAAAAGTGCTTGTTTAATATGCCGCTAAAATACGTTTGGGAGATTTTAAAAGAGAAGAATCTGATCTCAGGAAGTTGTGACCACTTTCAGCAACGAAATTCTAACCTTTTAAAATCACCCTAGTGCCGATGCAGTCAGGGCAGTGGGTGGCGCGGTCGCAACACTGTGGCCAATAGACCCGCGCTGATGTGTTGGGAAGTCGTCAGACTCCTCGCGCTCGTCGACGCTGGAAAACTTGAAGACAATCGACGGGAAGGCCTTGTGAGCTGGCGATCTGGGACACTGCACGTAATAGTGTCCTGTTTGCTGATGATGATTATGCTCGCTCGCTTGTCTTGCTCCATACAGTGATGTGGCTGATAGAAATGAGGATGCGGCCGAAGACATTCTGTCTTCGCTCCCGGTGTCTGAGCAATGCTACACACGGGGATCAAACAGAATTGAACGGATAAATTATACCGGTAAACCATCTGCAGTCAGAAAGACTGAAAATAGTGCATGTATTCCTATCGCTATCTATTCTAGGAGCAGATGGGTGGACTTTGTTGAGTAGTAGTAATGCTTATTGCGTTACTATGGTAGCCCCAACAGACATGTCTTATTACGGGGTACCCCAGGTGATCACGTAAGATTCTAATAAATGTTGCAGAGGAAGCTGAAAGGAAGGAAAGGACTTTGCACCGCTGTATTCCGTACAGAAAAGAGGCATAGCTGTCAACTCACAATGTTAGAAATGTTTATTAGCCTTTTGGCCTCGCTTACAATTTTGTCTTTGACCTTGCTTACGATTTTGGCCTTTTCGCCTTGCCTACAATTTTGGCCTTGCCTACAATTTTGGCCTTTTGGCCTTGCCCACAATCAGAGAATATACTGTGCAATACTCCAGAAATGTAGGCAGCACAATGCCACACAGATATTTACAGCAACATGTCACTCTTCTAAACTTCACTTCTCAGCTCCAAAAACGGTCTCTTCACTGCGATTCAAACCAAAATTATAATTGAGCCGTCAGATGCAAAAAGGTACCTTATGACATTTTTGGCCAAATCGAGTTAACGATTGTTTCAGATACAACCTGGTCAGGAGAGTGTCGTGCAAAAAACCAGGTCCAAAAATCTCAATTCATCACCGAGTTACCCTGGAAACTATCCGGACTATCGATCACATATTCACAGAAAATACTTTTTCGAACGCGATTTTCTCAACTGCGAGCAAAACGTCATAAGGTACCTTTTTGCATCTGACGGCTCAATTAACATTACACTAAATTTTCGGGCCTGGCCCATTATCGGGCCATTATCCTGATGATGGGCCAGGCCCGAAAATTTGGTGTAATGTTTAATTTTAGTTTTGGTTTGAATCGCAGTGAAGAGACCGTTTTTGGAGTTGAAAAGTGAAGTTTTAATGTGTAAGTGGCTGCGTTGGAGTTTGCGGACAATTAGAAAAAAATGTTACTCTTCCTTTTGATATCTGGCGATAAATAAAATACCGTGCACACTCGTATTGAATACCTGTACCATACAATGTACATGTAGTACATACACAAAACGAGAAAACCTGAAGAAAAAGCTGACCAATGAAAAATATCAATTGTGCACTCATAACCATGTATAAACAATTAAAATGAAACAATTCCAGAACGTTTTCGTGTGACCATCATCAGTGGAACATCGTCACATAGTAAGAATCACTAAAACAACCAGTTATATAGCTAGAGTAATATGAAAAGAAGCGTGAGAATGCAGCACAGCTAGCGGTTATGCATAACGCGTGTAGTGTGAACCTTTGCAGTGTATCTGAGAATGGTAGCAGTATAACCGCTAGCATAACCGCTAGCTGTGCTGCATTCTCACGCTTCTTTTCATATTACTCTAGCTATATAACTGGTTGTTTTAGTGATTCTTACTATGTGACGATGTTCCACTGATGATGGTCACACGAAAACGTTCTGGAATTGTTTCATTTTAATTGTTTATACATGGTTATGAGTGCACAATTGATATTTTTCATTGCTATTTTACGACTGTTGTCTCCTCGTCGGTTATTTAAAAAGCTGACCATTGAAGGTTTACTTTCATGGCCAATGTTAAGAGGATCCTTATGCTGAGAGATTCCTAGACTCACTGTTTTCGTCACTCCCCCTTAATCCAGGTTATCTAATCTTGTTCTTAAATCTTTTCTCCCTTTCCATCGTCATCATAACATTGGGCATGATTGCCCGTTTGACTTGCGAGGATTGAAATAAAAATGTAGATCCAACTACCACCCAGGGCTGCGGAATTCAAACCAGGGACCCTCCCTCACTCATGGGACTCTCCCTCACTCAAGGGACCCTCCCTCACTCATGGCAGCGATGCTCTACCACTAAAGTGTGTCGTAGCCGCCATCCCAGCCGCCACTGTTCAATATTTTTCAGCTCAGTTCTGACTTGGAAACTCACTAATTTTCGGTTAGTTTGTTTTTAGCATGATGTCATGCTGGAATTTGGTGCTCTTTCATACAGGTTTACCTGGAGTTTTAACGGAGTCACTGTCGCTTCGGAAGAAAACCAAGTTCACCATCGTGACTAGTCGTTGTTGCACGAATTTCCATGTTACGTGGGTGCTACTGACAATACGTTTGATAAAAAAAAAGAATATTACGGGCAAACACAGAAGTTATCCCCAAAGCCCGTGCTGCTCGTACCCTCAAATAGAAAATGAAATTTCCAGGGAGTGGCAATTTAGTAGTAATAGGTTTTTCATTTGACCAGACAAGACCAGCCGACTAGGCCTTGACAGATTATGCTAATATTTTCGTGAAATTGTGCTTTTCGCATTGCTGAAAAAATTGCAGAATTATGCTTTTTTTTATGCCAAAAGTTATCATATTATGCGGCATTGCTCACATATGCTGCTAATGTATATGATGATTCTGTGCAAAATAACAGGTGAATTTTTGTAGAGGGCGTTGTACTGTAGTAGCAAAAGTTCAACGGGGTCAACGCACCGTCCGACCTAGCTACGACCGTCACCCTGGTCACTGATTGTAGTGGACTGGACATGTTATCAAGGGAGTCGTAAACCTACGCCTTCCTGGTGCGTCTACTTGTACTTGTACTTGTAGAACATGTACAACTGTACGGAATTTGATGCGAACAGGCGGATTAGTCCAATTTTATGCGATTCGTATGCAATTTACCTCGAATTATGCGATTATTCGATTTTGGTAGGAATTATGCGAAAAATTATGCTAGCATAATCTGTCAAGGCCTACAGCCGACGCTTGCAGACGACAGCACAAACAGATCACCAGTCACACTCCGCTACTACTTGCTAACGTCGAGCGTGGCTGGTGATCTGTTCGTGCTGTCGTCTGCATGCGTCATGTGGTCTTATGGGGGCAAATGAAACAGCAATTGCTACTATGATTTGACGGACCTAATGAAGATATCAACAACTAACTAGTTTCTCCTTACCGTGCTGTAGGTCTGCAGGTCAGATACACTTTCCTCTTCTATCGGTGATAGCTTGGCCGATGGGGAGTGGCGGAGGGACGGTGCCGGCGAGCTACACGCAAACATCTCCGGTGAGTCATGGGTCTGTGACTGGTCTTTGCCAGTCAGTTTGCGAATAGGGCATTTCCCGCCTGCCGTCCCACTGAATTCCATGTAGTGCTGTGCAAATAAATCAGCAAAGCAACCAGTCGATTAAGAAAAATAAAGAAAATTATCTCCGTTCCGAACATTTTCTGCAGAGTTGCACCGTACTATAATACGTACATGACGTTGTATGCCCCTGTGGAGAGTACATTCAGTGGGATTTAAAGAACTGTAAAAACGGAAAGTTTAATGAACAAAAAGTTTATTATAAACCTGGAAATTTTTTCCTTGGCTCACCATCTGAGTTTTTTTAAAGTTCAACGTTTCTGTAATTTTGGCATGTTAACGTGCAGAAAGTTTAATGATGGCTACCTGGCCACCCATCTGTATGCACATCTTTACACAGACATCTCACGATAACCATGAAGTTGGTATGATAACGTTTCTTCAAATAACGAAAAAAATTGGTCGTTAAAACGTTAGACTTTGTGACTCGTTAGACTGTTCGGTTTACAGTAATCTACGGCCGTCGACAAGTCATCAATTAGTAGATTGGATTTTCCTATTTATTTGATTTGTCCTATTTACTTGACTCCTGGAAGAAAATCAATGACATCATCGGAGCAAGGATGCGGCTAGCGAACGAAGTCAAGAAATTTAAGTTGATGTGGTTTGGCCATGTTACGAGACATGACGTTTTCTCCAAGCCCTTCCTGCAAGGATCAACTCCTGGATCTCGACCGAGAGGAAGGCCCGCAACATCATGGATTTCTAACATTAAAAGTTGGACGGGTCTTCCCTTGCATGCTCTCTCTCATGCAGCACACGATAGAGTTGGATTCAGAGACATCATTCACAATTCTCTCGCTGATTAATGCCTCTACGATCACCTTGTGATTATGAGTTATACATACATACATACATACATACATACTTGACTGGATTTGTCACCATTGCTTTATTTGCTTGCGCTCTTCGAATTCTTCGTCCCGTACATCACCCAGTTACCGACACCGAGTTTGTTTTCAAATAAAGACAAACCTCTAAGTAGTATTTTACTTTGCTTCATCACGTGAACAGGCACCGATGCCTTCTCACCAAACCAATCGTCTGGCTCCTACAAATTGGCGAAGAAGTGTGTGTGTGCGTGTGTGTGTGTATGTGTGTGTGCGTGCGCGCATGCACATACCGTATTTTCTCCAATAAAAGTTCAGGTCTCCAGTAATAGCTGGTCGTCTCCTAGACAAAAATACAGACCTCATTCTAAGGATTAGAGAGTATTCAGACATCGCCACTCACAACAACACCGGATGTAGGCTATAGAAGATGTTCGTCTTTGCTACACATTGCTTGACCGTGCCTACCTTTTCAGTGTCGAGAATTGACACCAGAGTGGAGACCAACCTGTCGAAGGACGGTCTCTGGGATGGCGATTTCTCCAAACACGACAGCATGATTTCACAGCTGTAAATATAAAAAGACTGTACCGTACGACAAAAACATGAGAACAAATTGGTTTGGCTGTTTGGATCATTCCCTACCCAACTATTAGTACATGTACGTCACATCAAGTAGACCAGCCTTGCTCTTCCCTGTGATGCATTGCAGTGCCTTCATTGGCCATTTTCTGTCATAGAAGTCCATTGCGCAATGACATAATCTGTATTGCCAACACCCCAAACAAACAACTGGGCGTGGTCGTGTGGGGTTGTTGAAGAGTGCATTGCTGATGCCAGCTTACTCACATGCAGTACTCATGCAATCCATTTTTTGGCAATGCACTATGGGCTTATTCACACACTATGGAGGAAATGAGAGCAAACGGATCATTCACTCATTTTCATGCTTTTAAAACAGAGGAAAATATGAAAAGACGCCAGAAACTGTAAAAAATTACAAGCTGACACTCGGTTGCAACACACAATGAAAAGAGTACTGCAATAGGGCAAACAATATCACATTTTCGCTCACATTTTATTTATGCACGTCAAGGAACGAGGCAGCCGCTTGCTCTCCCGCAATACAGTCTGCTGAGTCAACTGGAGGGACGCCTGCAGAGTCAACTGCAGAATCAACCATCAACCGCTAAGCTGTTGACGGAGACTCCCTCGATTTAGGCTTTTAAGGCCTGTGGAGAATCCATAAATACAAAATAATACAAATACAAAGCGTAGACTCAACTGCGCTGCTGCAGAGTCGCCGGCAGAGTCGTCCGCAGAGTCGCTTATACATAAGTTATAGAGTCGACTGCAGCATCCGATGCGGTGTTTCTGGCTACCGAGGCTCCCCCAGGCGATGGCAGCGGCAGAAGTGGGGACGGTGCGGCCACGGCGAAGCCGAAGGCAAGAGGGAGACTCAGGCAGAGATAAAGATACAGCATACATGTATTCCCTAGCCTCCACTGCATGCTGTGCTGTTGTGAGAAGAAAACCAGCTGAAGTAAAAGACAGCAGGCGGAGAAAAGCGTACGCTTGGTCCTTATTAAGGAGTGCTGGGCTCAAAAGGCCGCAATTATATTGCTTGCGTTGTACCTAGGCCATACAGGCAAGGCCAAGGGTGCTGAATCAGTAAACTTCTACTTCGAACATCACACTTATTTGGATGTGAACGCAAGACCTTTGACAATGGTTCAAACTGTCACTTACGGTCAGTACTGCACTCCTGTATTTGAAACAGCCAAAACTGTTACCAGCTTGCGCAAAACTTCCGGTACATTGCAGGGACGCGGGTGCTCATCACATACAACGCTTCGACAAGTGATCGTCTTCTTCAATGTTATTGTCCTGTGGTGGGGTGGCTCGGCGCAGTATCTATCTTCTGGAAGGACATGTCCTCCTGCATGGTACATTATTGTAATAATTTAAAAATAATATTATTAATAGTCAACGTTTGGAGAAACAAGCTTCTGCCAAATATGGTCTGTATTAGGCAGGTTGTACGTGCTGCGTTATACAAAGCGAACATGCAGGGTAATAATAATGCCATTACCATGTATGTAATGGTGATGACCTCTTGCATCACTCGGCCGTCATGTCGTGGAGAGTACGAACTGCACTGTACTACTACTAGTAGTCGGTTTATGGTTAACTTGTAGGCAGGAGCACTGTGCGTCCTCCGTCTTGCTACCTGATGACATGATGACATTTTTAGACAGCTCACTTTGACTGGTGCAAACGACTCAATGCTCAGTACGTGTACGTGTGCATTATGTACAGTCATGAAACAGCAAAGATCTGAGTGGCCCTTCAGGTTTTTACCGTACCGTTTCTATGGTTGTAGCCAATGAGCGACGTTCCCGCGGTGGCCTTGATGAGCCGATAAAGCCCGTGGTCAATGGATACGGAAAAATACGGTAGCAATAAAGCCCGTCGTCAATGGCACCCCGTACTCTGTCAGCCTAGCTCTGCAGGGGTCTGTGGCAGTTTTTCGTTGTCAGCTCAGTTCACATCTCACATTCGACTGTGAACATGCTCTGGTACCTGGAAACAGCCTGTCCGAAAACGGCATGAAAAGTGTCTACACATCGTGGTCAGTTTTCAACTCAAGTTCTTGTTGTTGTGAGTGGAGATGAAATTTTACGATAGTTGTGAATAAGCGAAAGAGCATGCACCCATCTATCTGCTAAGAACCAAGCTGAAATAAGTGGCAAACATCGCGATCAGTTTTCCACTTTCTGTTCTACATGTACCGGTGTTGCCTGATGATTGCGTAAGCATGAAACTTGAAGTAGCAGCAAACAAGCCTTGATTGTCCTTGTTGTTCTGTTGTGTACCGGTACTAAAAAAAGGAGTTGACGAGTTGCCGAACTTTTCTGATAATTTTGACGAAGCGAAAGATCATAGACCAAGGATCATCCCATCCATGAGAAGCGGACGGAGCTGAAACTCACAAGCTGAATCCACCACGTCCCCGACCACCACCCCTATACGTGTCGTGCTTTTATACCAGAAAGGCGAAAGACAAAACCTGAAACACCATCATAGAGGTCTGGCAGGACTTTTCGTGGCCGTACGCACTCGGCCTTGATTCAGCCGTAAAGTCCTGCCAGACCTCTATGATTGTCTACTGAAAGCTGGTCAGACTGCGGCAAAATGTTGGTGCCTGACAAAATGAGGAGCACCGTCCAGGATTAAAATCGCGATCACATGGGGTCATGCACATTCCCTTCACCTCGGCCAGTCATAGCACAAATTTGCTAGCAATTCTTTGAGCGAAATATCGGATGCGCAAGTTGCCGGCAAGTTTCGAGGAAAATAAATATCGAGTTTTGGTGGGCTTTTCGGACATCCAAGGCTTCTAAGGGACTTCCCCAACACAATCAGTCACTGGAAAACGAGCATAAAAGTTGGACAAAACAGACTGGTGGCTACATTTTTGTAGAACGTTTGACAGAAGCAGGACCCCAATCAAAACTTCCGTCGTCATCAGCGACAGTTATTGTAGATTTTTCCTTGAAACTCATTTTATTTCGAGCAAAATGGAAGCAAAACACCGACAGCTACAGAGAAAGGAAATGCCAAGCAGAACATCGAAAATCTTGCGGCAAAATATTGATGTGGGCAGAGCAAATTTGGGCCAGGCCATGACTAATATAATGGCCAGCACCTTCTAATTGCAGTGCAATCTCCCTGCAACCCTTGCATACTGTAATTATTTGAGTCCCATTGTTGCCCGTACGTGGCTAGTCAGCACTAGGGCAGACCCGAATTTGCTAGCAATTCTTCTAGCAAAATATCGAAGAATTTTGAAAGGGAATTTGCTGGCAAAATGGAGCAAAATATCGGTGTGTTGGCTGGGAATTGGGAGATTTTACACATATACGGTGCACATGACTCATTTCGGCACAGTTTTACCAACACGTGACTCACTTTTTCTCATTTTTGCCAACACGTAACCCACTTTCGGTCAGTTTTCTCACACGTGACACACATTTTGGAGCAAAAAGGGAGCAAAATATCGAGTGACAAAATTTCGACGATGCACGAGCAAAATTATGCCGCAAAATATCGAGATTCACCTGGCAAATTCGGGTCAGCCCTCAGTACTCCCATATATCGGGCTGAAAAATCAGTGAGTACATGTATCTGGCGTACGAGTTCATGACTGATTCTGTACATCCATCAGGGAGTCGTAGATCTACCCAGGCCCAAACCTGGTTTGGGCCTGGGTAGATCTACGACTCCCTGATAACAAAAGTATTATACAATGACGCTGATGCACATGCATGTTTAGGAATTTGTTGGATTTTTCTTCGCGATTTTTATTGTTTGTCTAGTATGGCTACCACCAAGAGTACATAACCCAAGAGTACATAACCCCCCAGAGTGTGCAACGCCTGATCCAGCTCTGCATAGGGTCTTGGTCGAGCGGAATCGGATCTTTGCGTCATAATACCGTACAAATCTGAGGGGAACCCGGGGAGTCGCGGGTACTCTTGGATCAAAAATAATGGTGCCCTGCCTCAAGACCGGCCTTGCACTGGTGTGGAGTGTACGCATGACATCAGAAGATCCGATTCCGCTCGACCAAGACCCTATGCAGAGCTGGATCGGCGTTGCACACTCTGCATCTGGGGGTTATGTACTCTTGCTACCACCAAGAATACATGACATAGCGGGTTAACACAATATTCGCGGGATCCGCGTCGGCATTAGGCCTTGGCGGATAATGCTCGAAAAGGTGGCAGATTCTGCTCGAAAAGCAGTGAAATTGGCAGAACCATACCAACCTTATGGCGGGCAATTCCTCGAATTCTGCTCCATTTCTTTATCCACATACCAAACATGCATAAAATTACCAGAAAATGTACTTAATTCTGCCAATTTTTCTGCCGGCATTATCCGCCAAGGCCTAGTCGGCATCGCTTGAATGATTAAGAAACTTTACACAAAGTAGCCTTCGCATCCGCAGGCCATCGCTATGCCTGTTCACGGTGCTAAGTGGCGAATGAAGACCGCACAGGCGAGTTAGGGGAGAGGAGGTGAGTCTCTCAACCAATTGGGCGTGTAAAATGGCCCATAGGGCCATAACCCTATTTTATCGCATCCTTGTTATCCTCACTCCGAGCTGTGAGTACCCAGTTGACCGTGGGTGGTACTCCTAATCTTGCTTCTACTGTATTCACTTTGTCTTGGTGGGGGGGGGGTGAGGCACGGGGAAGCTGCTATACAAGGGTGCGAGCACATCTAGCGCCTCTGGGCACCGGAAGTACAACTCGCTCGACTAGTCTCTACTGAGTGAAGAGCCTTCTGTGAGTGTACTTCGGGCAAGGGTACTTGAGGCGGAGAAAACACAGAAGAAAGGGAAGAAGGAGTCTTGCGCAAAGAAGTCAAACCGTTGATCAACAAATCGACGTCCTGACCCACCTTTGCCGAGAATATAAGTTAAGAATGAAGAAGGAGAAAGAGAAAACAGAGGATATTTAAGGACTCACGACCTCAACTAGGCCAGCGTCTGTGCTACATGCATGAGAGAGACAGATGCTAG